TTCTTCTTCTTCTTCTTCTTCTTCTTCTTCTTCTTCTTCTTCTTCTTTCTGTGTCCGTGCCCTGTCTTTGAGGAGGTGAGTGCAAGAATCTGCAAGAGCTGCGAGTCTTTCTGCCATACCTGCCCCTTTTTCAGCACGTGGCCCAAACTTCCGTGCCCCGCCCCGCTCCGAAGTAAGATCTCACCCCAACCACCCCAAGGCAGTCCGCGCGGGCGCCTGGTTCACCGGCACAGCGCCCAGGGCATCGGGGCAGAGCATGTCGCAGGTTTCTCGAAAGGGCGGCTCCCCGCGGAGGAAGATGCGGCCAGTCTCCATGAGGAAGAAATCCTCAAGGGTGGCGCCAGTCTCCAGGCCGGACCAAGGATACCAAGGGGTGTGTCTTCCGTGTGGCACCATGCGACACGAACAAAGGGCGGTGGGAGGAATTCATGGAGAATCACCTTCACTCACCAGTTGAACATGTCCCAAATCCTTGGATTGTGTCACACCTCCAGGATTCCACGCGCTTTCCAGAGAGACGTCCAGCGACGGAAGACCCCGTCGCGGGCGAGTCCGGAGCTCCGTCGCGGGCGAGTCCGGAGCTCCTGTAGACATACCCCGATCTTCCAACGGGCGATGTTAATCCCTAGGGCTCCGGGCTCCTGATCCTTTTTTAAGACTATATTATATCTTGGATGCATTAAATATGTTATTGATGTTCTTCGTCTTTTATCTTTAATGAAGGTTCCTGAGAAGTGGAAAATATTTAATGCATCATATTATTATATTCTTTATTATTTCCCACCTTAAGATAATAATTGGTGGGTTATTTTATTATATTAATGCAGGATGTTTGATAATAGAAAAGGACAAATAATAAAAATCCTGCAAAGATAAAGAGAATAATATAATATGGCTTGTTATTTATTAAAAGATTATTGCTATATTAAAATAACAAGCCATTAATAATATAGTGTACTAGCCATTGGCCTGGGTTCGCCAAAAATTAAAAGAACCCATCATGAAAAGTAAATAAGATAATAAAAGAATAATGTGCACCCGATATAATAAAAGATAGAATTAATAACAATAATCGGGTGCATAGATAATATAAGAGATGAAGGGCAAAGAAATTCCAAGAAGATATTAATATGAATTTCTTTGCTGTACCTACCATGAATTTCAATCTATAAGAAACCCAATTATTAAAATTCATGGTCATACACTGCATTTTTAATAATGAAAATATCTTATACATTAAAAATGCAGTATTCTTCATTATATCTTACAAATCAATGATTGGCTCGGTGAGGACTGACCCCCCCCCTGGCACCCACCTCAAGCACCGGACCTCAGAAGGTGGGCCCGGAGCCCTAGGGAATATGATATGTCTTTTCATCCCCTGAACACCGCGGAAGGCGACGTTGCATCGAGCCGCTCGATCCCCAACCGCTCGAGCCGCTCGAGCCCCAAACCTCCCATCCCAAGAATCGACCGACCGAGCGCCGGAACCCGCGCCCGAACCGCGCCCGTCCAAGCGTCAAAGGTGATCTTCCGGCAGAAGGACACCGACTCGGTGCCTCTTCCGAGCGGATCGCAGCCGAGAACCAGCACCCGACTCAGAACAGGTCTCCGAAATGGGGTTGTTGGGCCCCGTAAAACAGGTCTCAATCGATGCCCTGTGAAGTCGGGTGCTGGTAGTAGCTACCTCTACCTAGACTCTGGACGCTCCAAATCAACAGTTCGGTGTCCAGGTTCACCTCTAAGACTCCTCGGGTCCTAACCGCCAACACCACCTGGTCAGGAAGGCACTACTTGCGCCCACTCGGTCAGCGGGGATCCCGACCGACCGCTCCGGAGCGGGACGTCCGTCCGCTCTTCGCGTCGAACACGTCGGCGATCGGGTCCCACCAGACCCGGTCGGACTGGGCCGATTGGGCGAGTTTCTCGGCAGAGACGCGACCCGGTCGGGCCCGAATCCAGGGATCGGGAGTCTCATCCGATGGTCAGGGGTCTGGGATTTCTCACCACTCCCGATCGGTTTGGTTCGGGACCGGAAGGGACCGGGCGCCGTTCACGGAGCGTCTGGGAGGTAGGAATCTTCGCAGGTCTCATCTTCTTCGTGTTCTGGGGTATGGACGGTCACCACGAGTCGAAAAGATTCTGTGAGAGGGGAACAGCGTTTTTTTCAAATGAGCCTCGAGCCTCTCAAGGGTTCACCTTTCACCGTTTGAAGTACATAGGGTGCTCCTGGCCCCTATAAAGTGACTAAAGTATGATATCCACCCTAATCAACTGCTCAAGAGGAAAACGGATGGATAAACTGACTCCCTCACTGTCACTGAAAAATAGAGGGAAGAGGTTAACCGTTCACCTGCTTGTGTTTTATGGGTTCCACCGTGCTCCACTCACGAGGCTCTCGCCAAGCTGCCACGCTTCCGCCCCAACCCGCGCGCGGACCTCGCCGGTAGACCACGAACCGCCACCAGGCTCAAACCGGTCCCCGTCCGAGTCCCCAAACCGAGGCGCTGTTGTCCCAGAAGTCCAGCCCGGGGAGCTTGGATTGGAGACACTGTTGCAAATGAAGGATAGGATGTAGCAAGATGGGATATCTCATCAGCAGCCTCAGAAGGCGGCTTGGATTGAGCCACGGACTGGACAGCCGCGTCTGCTGCAACACAGGGTCTGACACCGGGACCGGTGTCAAAAAGAAGAGGTGTTTGAGGATAGTCTCGACTTGCACCTCCGGTCACTTATGGTCACTTCCTAGCTGCCCCCGGAAATCCGGTGCCCTTTCCACGTCCAAAAGCAGGCCTATAGCGGGAATGTCACAGTGCCAAAAGGCTCATGGTCAGCGAAGGGTGTTTCAGAGATGTTCTTCACTTGTCCGAGGGAGCGACCGACCCCACCCATGCTCGAACCCTGAAAGCTCCCGATCTAGGAGAGGGCCTAGAAGAAGCCGCTGGTGGAAAAAAGGTGCTAAAACCATCAAAACATGCGATGTGTAGGAGGGGGGCCGTCACTGCCCATCACTGCCCATCTATCCTCTTCACGATCGAATCCATGCCATGCATGATCTTTAAAAACTAAGCTGCGCGTGCTGTTTGTTTGCTCCGGGGAAAAAAAACAATATTCGAAAAAGCATAGCACGTTTAAAAAAAAAAAAGTAATACATATATGTCCATGCGTGGTCTAGGATCCCCTTTGTTTTGAGGGTGTTGTTTACTGGCACGGCCTCAAAGACCGGACCTGGGGTGTTCCCCTTCGGACCCACGAATCGACCGATGGACCTCCAGAGTCCAGACGGCCCTTCTCACAACCCTTTTTGGGGTGTCCTGGCCCAGGAATTGACAGAACCGTGGATGATGCTTGAGTAGAGACCTTTCTCTAACATGATCATTGTTTACCCACTGTTACAGGTTTACACCCCCAAATCTTCCTTAAAAAACCATAAGAGTCCGACAGTCACCCACCGCCACCAAAGCTAGCGAGACATCCAGTGGTGCCAGGTGGTGCCAGGTGGGGCCAATTTCAGGCAGTACCAAAGCTACCAACCGAATTCAGACCCCCAAGGCACAAATTACAGTACAAGCCGTGTCTCTGCAAGGTCCAGACAAGCAGCACAAGCAACCACCGGATGACCTCCTTCCCACTGAAAAAAAAACCTTCACACCCACCAGCCGACCACATGCCGGGCAGCTCCGCGAAGTCACTGGCGTAGTAGCGCCGCGTGGGCAGCAGGTCGAAGTTGATCTCTGCCGTGTCGAAGGACTTCCTCGGGCGTCGCACGTCGCGGCGCGTCCGTCGCCCTTCTGCCGGTCCCCCCCTGTCCACCACTCCTTGCCGGAGCACCCCCGACTGGCACGGGACTGAATCAGTCAATGGGGGTCTTCCTCGAATATGTCTTCACACGACCTCATGCCGCTACGACCACCGTGCGAAACCGCCACCACCACCGACCCACCACTACCGGCCACTCCAACCACTCACCTCTCCGCCTGACCCTCCACCGTGCCGCCCCGCACCACTCCGACATCCGTGCCGTCGTGCCGCACGGGGCAGTTGCGGTAGATCGCAAAGAACTCCCCCAGCCTCGGCGCCGCCAGGCGCGGTGGGTGGCGGTTGGAACCCGAGCGGAACGAGGAGACGGGGCGGGTGCCCAGAGCTGGGGGTCTGAGGGAGGGTGGAAGCTGCTTGAGCTGTTCAAAAAAACGAACATGGCACCCTATAGAAGTCCAGATAGTCAAGTAAAGGAGAGTTCCTGAAATCAGGCTTATTATATAAACCCTGGGAGGCAAAGACTATACAAAGAATGGTCTTTAGGTGACCCAAGTTCAGGAAGTTCCTTTACTTCAGTCGGTCAAAATATGGTCGAACTGGACTTCGTAGGGAATAGTCAGACCAAGGTCACTTTGACGCGCAGGGAAACCTAGGGAACATCAGTACACAATCCACATCCAAGCATCATTGCTCCCCCCTGCCGGGTGGAAATCGATCCAGGTCTTCCCCCCCACAGGGCCCCTTAAGCCAGGCACCACAAGACAGATCATGCGCCAAGGAGCTCGTAGTATCTGATGTAGTGATAGGTGGTGCTATCGCGGATCCGCAGGATGCACAAGAACAAGGTCTGCGCCAGCTCGACCCGATTCAAGGAGCAGAAGCGCAACATCACCTCGCCACTCTCGCCACGCTCGCCACGCTCGCCACGGCGGACCGGGTCTGCCACGCGACGTCGACGTCCGAGCCGGCACGACGTCCACCGGGGCTGAGGGCGCAGAGCGGTGGGGTGGGGTGGCTGGGGATGGACGATCGCAGTCCGAGACAGAAAGACTGACCAGGACCCTGTCGGTGCCCTGTCTGGAAGCCTATGGGTACCCTAGGGATCCAAGTACCTTCTCAGAAGGTACTTGGACCCTCGAAACCCACATAAGAGTGTCTCCAATCACCTTCTGAGAAGGTACTTGGATCCCTAGGGGTATATAGTCCATTTAACACCCTTTGGAAGGTTCAGGGAGCTGAAAATTCCCTTCGTGTGACGATGGCTCTGCCGCTCTGGACCCAGGAGACCAGCACCACAAAAAGCATACCAGCACCCGACTGCACAGGGCATCAGTGGTTCGACCTGTTTTACGGCCCTGCCCAACCCTGCTCGACCCATAGGATCCCATAGGCCCATGGAGTCGGGTGCTGGAACGAAGAACGAAGCATCGCATCTAGCCGATGTGAACCCGGCGCTTGTGGTTTTTAGTCTGCTTGGCGTTTGGAGAGCAAGCTGACCGATCACACCAAGCAAAAGGATCGAACATCACACACCCCTTGCCAAACAGTGGATGGCACACCCGAAAATCATCCGTTTCTGAGCATCCGAAAAATCTCCGTTTTGAAACCCCTGTGGTCATCCAAACATGTCGTTGTTCCCTCTTGCGCCCTCCAAGTGGTGTGAGGGTCGTGTTGTCTTCGATCCCCCGCGGAGTGGTGTCGAGAGTGCAGATCACACCGAGGCGAAGCGAAGACTGTGACGCTGTTTTCGATCTGAACTTCGACCTGAAACACCGGGGGTGTTCGGACCGCCCCATGATCGCCCTGGGACCGACCTCCCCAGAAAACCTCCGTGCGAGCGAAACAGAGCGTGTGGGTGGCCCGCAGCTTGTTGCGTGTCGCTCGCTCGCGCCCAAGGGACCCAGAGGAACTTGTCCCACGTGGCCTCCTCCTCACAGTCGCCCAGCTTCCTGGGCGAGCTTGGAGGTCGGCGGAGCGCCGGTCGGCCGGGTTCAGGCCCCTTGGCGCCTTTCGACCAGACCGAACATGGGAAAAGGGACCTTGGGACCTGTCGTGTAACATGGAATGACCTGTGATTCTCAGCACCTGCTACCTGCTACCTTACTTAGCAACAACCCTGGTTGGGATTCAGACCATTAAAACAGGGTTTAAATCCAGAAGGGTTCCTCTTTATAGGCTGGGGGTCAGGGGGGTTAGACCTGTGTTCCTTCGGGTTCGTGGCTTCTATCGGGTTTCGACACCGCTCGCGAGTTGGAGGGGAGGTTGCTTGACCAACCGCCCTCGAAGTCGGCATTGCCGCCAGGAAAAGTGGCGCATGGCGCGTACGGAACCGGGGGAACCATTGATCCCAAAGAGGATTCATCCAGCTTCGGTTCCACCTCGTAGCTCGGCTTTTCCGGATCCGGACCCTGTGAGCACATCCATGCCTTTAGACCTTCGTGCCTATAGACCTCCACTCCAGTGAACGCCCCATGAGGCCATGACCAGGCCTACCAACTTCTTAGTGATGGACTTGGAAGAGGCTTATTCCTCAATGTGTCGGCGTCAGATCTCTCATTCCTTCATCATTCCCTCATCATTCTCTCACAACAAAAGAAAAGAACTCCCCAAAAAGGGGCCATTCCTTTGTTCAGCGACTTAGCTATACATTCCACTTCCAGGATTTTCCACTCCAACGTTCTCCGTTCCAAGCCACAAGATGCAGCGGAGCAACTTCAAGACCCACTTCCGGCGATCCTCGATCAGCACCGGCAGCACCTGTGGCTCCGAACGACCAGAAGACCAGAACCCGAGGAGCGCAGAAGTGGTCACCAGGACGCTCTCTGTTTTGTTTGAGGCGACCAGAACCCGTGAGGAACACCTGCAGAACCAGGTCAGCAGGTGTTTGCACCAGGTGAAACCTGGTGAAATCCACACAAGATGGATGTGGTTGGTTTGAGCGGGTGGTGGGCGGAATTCCACATTCACTTCTGGGAACCACGCTCCGTTGATAGTGGCTGGATGCAAAAAGCTTTGGGAGCCAACTCTGAGGCTGCAACCGATGATGTTCTCCCGGCTGATCTGGTCAGTGGGGGGGGGGACCCCTCCCCCGTTTCAGCATCCAAGCTGCACACCGGCGCCATTCGGAGACCGAAACCAACCCGTTCCAACCCCCAAGCACGAGACCGACGTTCGGTTCGGTCCAGGCACAGTGGAGGGTGATCTTCGATGTGTCCTACTGCACGATCCATGAAAAAAAAAGAAACGGACCCTTCATCAGGCCCAGAACGTGCGTGCTAACCTATAGAAGACGAAAAAAACGGAAAGAAGAAGAAGAAGAAGAAGATGCCCATGCTTCCATCTCATGCTCGCTCCCCCCATTCGAAGAAAGCAAAACGAACGAAGGCCGCCTCAGAGTTGACGGTGTAGACCGCTGTGTAGAAGGAATCGTCCTCCTGGAGTGGACTTTGCAGGATCGACCAGAGTTCTTTGCCTGCCCTGGAGAACCTTCTGAGTACGACTCGAGAGATTCAAGACATTTGAGGGTCACTGAAAATCACCAGCAAAGGTTGAAGGACCCTGCAGACTATCCCAGAGGTACCCCCGATTACAGGTCCTTTAAGACCACGATATTTCACCTCTCGTAGAAGAAATTGGGTGGCTCCGATCATCATCTCTCGCCTTCTTCAAAAAAGAGAGAGAGAGAGACGGTAGGTACCAGGCGAGCGATCGCCCTGGTGGTTTGGTCGCACATTTCGGTCCTCGAGGTCCTTTAAGGCATGGAAGACATTGTAAATCTTCAGCCTCAGATGCAGGCGGCTCGCCAGTGCAGGTGAGCCCTGTCTCTTGCCGAACTGGCGGAACGGGTCAAAAAAAAACTAAAAGAATCCTTCCGCCACCAGTAGGGTAAATAAGAATCACCCTAAGCAACCAGGTCCTCGGCCTTTGGTGGTCCTGTCGACCGACGTCCGCCCGCAAAAAAGGCCGCAAGGGCGGCGATCGAGACGACCGATCTTCACCGGTCCAACGACCTGCGCAAACGACCTGCATGTGGGATCTGCTGCGCGATCTTCCTGGGAAGAAAGATGACAAACATCTTCCAGTGAAGATTGACCCATCTAGACCATAGGGTAAATACAGATCACCTTAAGCAAAACCAGGTTCATGAGTAGGTGCTTTCGTTCATACAGGTGCCACGGAGAAAAAAGATAAAACAGATCCGCGCGTTGACCAACCAGTCAAGAGTGCAAATGGCCCATGGTAAGGTAGGGATCCTGCAAAGTCTGACTTCCAATCAAAAGAGGTGAAAACCGGTGAAAACAGCTTCGTGTCTGTACGGTTATTGAACACCCGCTGGAGTCTTCTGGCGCTTGGCAAGGCACAAATGCCTCTGCTGAATGCTAATGGACTGCAGATAGGCGTTCACCTAGACGAGCACAACGGCAGGCCCCACTCAAAATTCAGGTGGTCTGGAAGTCTCCTAGACCAAGGAAAAGTCACACAGACCAAAAAAAAGAAAAACAGCACCTAGCACAGGTCACTAGCACTTCCAATGCGCGAACCCGCGGTACTGCACCCGCACGGGGTGCCCAACCTCACGAACGCCCGGGTTCAGCGATTGAGGAAGACGGACCGCTTCGGTAGGGGCACGGCAAGCCGCGGCGCCACGGCAGAACGGAAACCCATGGAAGAGAGTGAGTCAGTCCATGTGAGTAACGAGTCTTGAGTCAGTCCATCTTGGAGTTACTTGGCACTTGGAGTCTTGGAGATGTCTGATTTTTGGCCAAATGGAAGTTGCTGGATGAGTCATCGGCCACAGCCCGGAATCCCGTCACCGCCGGTGCCTCGGGGTTGGGCTCGGGCGGCGAGGACTTGGCGAATTGCCCCAGGCAGCGCTTCCCGACCTCCGCTCGGTCGCCCCCTCCGCGGTCGCGTCGAAGGGTCGCCGATCGCGTTGGCGCCGATCGCGTTGCCGCGCCAGGGACTGTGTGCCACAGGTACAAGGGCTTCAAAAACATGGGAATTTCGCTTATCCCTCCAAAACAAACACTTGAAGATGGTGTAAATTGTGGGACTCCTTTTCACCAGTGGCAGTATCAATGGAACCGGACCAAGAGTCTGGTGAGAAAGAGATGACTGGGACAGCTGAATGAGCCTTCATCAACTCAACTAGTCCTCCTTGACGCGAACTCCAAGGCCCAAAAATGGGCCCCTAAACTCTCCAGACCGATGCTGTCCGAACCAAACAGAATTGAACTATATTCATAAAACCCGGGGTCACAAAGCTCGGGGTGTTGTTTGGTCTCATCCAGTGAGTGGATGTGACAGGGGCATCCCGACTTCCTCCAATCGTTCGGCATCCCCTTTGGCAACTACTGGTAGCCCCAACGCCCTCTTAATTGGGGGGGCAAAAGAGAGGACGCCAACGAACGAAAAACCGCCCCAGGCGCATTGAGGAGCCGCTGCAAGATCGTGGGCCCCCGATCCTCCTGGTCTGCCGCGTGCCGTCGGGGGGGCGCCAAAACCGCCGGCGGCGGCTAGACGCGGTTCGTACCGGCTCAGCGTCTGAAACCGGGATCCAAAGGGAAGACGTGGAGAGTTGGGTTGAGAGTTTGAATGATTCATTCTGCCAATTTTCCCATGAAACTCTCCCTTTCAGGGAGCCATTCTCAGCGCCAAGCTTGGGGGAGAGTTGACACCCGGTTGGCAGAAAGAACAGACCCATCGCGACACGACACGACGGTCAACGTCCAAACATCCCCAGGTTACACCAGATTCGAAAGCCTCAGCATTCGAGAGCTCCTTCGCTTGTGTTGAGCGGGAGAAGCCACACTGAATGTTTCCCCTGGGAGTCCAAAACTATTCTTCAAACGGTCTTTAGATGACCCAAACTGCAAGGAATGTCCTTGACTTCGGTGCCCCTCAACCGCCCGTCCTCCGCCTGCCCCTGAGCGGGTTGCTGCTGTGCCGGCTGCGGCTCTGCCATGGCTCCATGTGGACAGAACTCCGCACATCAGTGCGTTTTAAAGATGATGCGACCAATCTAGATACCAATCTTCTTCTGCAAGGATGCGCCCAATCTTCGGCCATTTCAAGAACCCATGATTCAGCGATCTGATACTTAAAGCTTGCCCCAAACAATACCATGGACCAGTTGCATAAACCCACGTATCTCAGAGTGAGTTGTGAGACCACCAGCCACGTGGGCCATGATCGGCACTTTGCAGATCGACCGAAGAATCCTGACCTTCCTCCAAGTCTGTGATTGAAGAACAGGAGCAGTGCAGAGTCTTGGCTTCAGGAACCTCCTGTTGGTGCTTCCACTCGGTTCTTTCAGGGACGGGACCCCTCATAGGTAGACCTCATGGGCTTCCCTAGCCTCTGGATGGCCTAGCCTCGTTTACTCCGTGGCTCCCACTTCGCATAGCTCTTCCCCCTCCTTGGTGCATTGGGCCCTTCTCGTCCTTCTCCGAGCCGAAACCCCCCCCCCCACGGCGGAAGAATTCGACTCCGGAAGGGCGGAGAGCGACGAGACCACGAACGCGGGTGTTGTTCGGATCGGATTCGTTGGATCGGAATCTTTTTGGTCAGATCGGAATCGTAGACTCGACGGGCGCGCGCGCAGCACCATCCCGACCATCCCGACCAAGGATCCTATATCGTTGACGCTGATCCCTAACTATAACGCTGATTCGGCGAGGTAGAGTATAAACTATTCGAACTGTTGTTGCTAACTGGCTGCGCACCGGCTATAACGACCATCCCGACCGTCCCGACCATCCCAACCATCCCGACCGTCCCGCTAGAATCTGATCCTACGACGCTGATCCGGCCGAATGGAATCTGATCCCAGACGCTGATCCGGCGAAGTCGAATCTGATCCGGAAATTCCCCCACGAAGGGTACGCCGGGAGGGCCATGCCGGGCCATGCCGGGCCAGGCCTCTGTTTTGGGATCCCGGTCCCCGAAAGCTCTCTCTCCCCCCAAGAGTCTTGAAGTTCGGAAGAAAACGGTGTCTTCACCAGTTTTTTCTTTGTGATGGCTGATGGCCTTGCCATCGAATGGGATGGAATAACAGCAGCACCAGATGCTTGGACACAGCACCAGCACCACCAGATGCTTGGACACAGCAGGTCAACAAAACCCTCCAGAAACATGGATCTCACTCTTCTCCAACAGCCGACACTCATGGGGCCACACAAAACCTATATTATGACTCAGTATTCCAGAAATGCCTAAATACACGTTCGGGAAGTTCCCATGTTGCCGCACGTCCGACCATACCTCTTGGCAACAACACAGGTGATGTGATCACATGCGCGTTGAAGCTGATGAGGGGAAGCCCTTACCATGGGGCTTGAACTTCTACTTGATCTTTCTTGTTTTGCGGAAAGTTTATTAGACATTCTGAAACAACCTCCAACACACGCCCACTAAAAACTGTTAAAATCACGCGAACGAATGCGATTGCTTTGTTTAAACAAAAACAACGTCCTTGATGCCACTGGAATCTCACGCCGGTGTTTTCGATGACACATCCCGTCACGCTGAAACCCCGCCGATTGACCGTGTGGCCGGACCCCGCGAACACCTGAAGCGAATGGGACTCCAGCGATGACACCCAGTGACTTTGGTTCAATTTCACCTTTGTTGGGCACTCAAAAGGAAATTCCTAAACTCACATCACCGGCCAATAGACCAATAGACCATGCTTAAAACGGTCGACTGGACATGATGTCCAAGCAGCTGTTCACGGTAGTTGAATGACAGCTGTGCCCGGACCCAAACCCCCCAAAAAGACATCGTCCACATGTTCCCCCTAGACATCTGCGCTAATGTCTTTTTTTGGGGGGGAGGGGTGGCTGCATGAAGAACAAACACCAAACACATCCACGAGTCGACCGTCTTTTCCATCCCTTTTTTTCGACGCCCAGTCCGGCTTCTCCCGGTCACGATCCGTCCGGCGTCCGGTCCGGCGGACGCGGCGACGCCGGAATCGGCCTGCAGACACTTCAAGCAAAGCAGGTGATCCCACCGACACCTCCGAAGCTGCGCGCCCGTGGGTTCTGTCGCGCAGGTCGATCACTCACCGTGAACCACACGGGGCGTGGGGCCCGGTGTGGGTGAAACGTGCCCTGAACCGGTCAAAAGGGTGGCCGGTCCCGGTGTTCGCTGTGAGGTTGGTCGATGCCAGGTGAAACGGGAGGTCCCCCCCCCAAAACAAAATGGAGGTGACAGGACTCACACCAACGGGATCAAGCCTTGCTCTTGGAGATCTATAGCATCCATGAGACGGGGCGGTTCACGAACCAACCCCACAGTCTTGGCCTGAAGCCCTGGTCCACCATGTAGCTGGGGTGGCATCAATTGGGACTTGATACACCTCCACATCGATGATGGGCTCCGAGCGTCCACTTTTTTGATACCTGCTGCCGAAGGATCGATGCATTGGCTACTGGCACTGCCAAATGGCAGATGTCGCGCACGAACGCGGAAAGCCTCGGTTTCACGTAGAGAGCTCATCTGTTTGGTGTAGGGGTTGTGTGTACAGCGGAGACTCACCAGAAAACGGTGAAGGACCAGCCTGGGAAGCGGTCGGATGGAGACTCGCCAACGAGTCGACCGCCGGAATAGGTCAACCAAGGTATGAGTCCGGGGGATGTACCTTGGTGGACCATGTTGACCTACCTACTGTTTCGTGGGGTTTTCAGTCGCCTCATGGACGTTCAGTCCTTCTTCAGTTTAGTGGCCACCGGAACCTCGGCGGTGACAGCGCCTCTGCCGATCCTGGAACGATTCCATGGTCACGTGCCACCACAGGAGCACCGCACGCTGCGCCTGACAGGAGCGGTGCTGGGAATCGTCTGCATACGGTGTCCTTCTTGGTCAAAGTGACTGGCATAGAGGGGCGAAAGCAGCAGCTTCTGCGCCTGTTCACAAGGACCAGCCCATACCTGGACCCTCCAAATCCGCTGTGGAACCAACCCCAAAGGCCCAGTTCATGCCCCCGACCCAACATCTATCCAGCCATCCAACCCCCGACAATTCAGAGATGAATTCGGGGTGGCACCCCCAATCCCTCCCAAAAGAGGTCTGCAAGGTGATCCGAACTCCTATCCATCGGTGGCTTTTCTTTCTTGGATCACTTCTCGCTCCAGCCAAACGCCACGGCTCAGGTCTAGCCAACGGATCAAAAGGTGGTGCCCCGGTCACTTGCCCTTCAGATCTTCACACCACCAGGTCCATGAGATGTCGGAGTGAAGCATGGGATGGATCGGGGTGTCTCCCACTCCCCCTTCTTCGGGGGGTCACCCCGGTCAGTCACTCCGGAACGGCACGAAGGCACGAGCTTCGAGGAAAACCGGTCTCCTTCTCGGACCATCCACTCTTCTCCCACTCTGAAAGAGTGGAACAAGTGGATGGCGCTTCCGCTCTGAAAACCGTCGACAGTCGACCCTCCCACAGCAACACCGGCCGACGGTGCGTCGAGAGACGTACGTCTCGACTGGGAGGGGGAGAGGACCTGCACAGATCCGGTCCGGAAGGTTGCGGAAATGAAGGGAAGGGTCGAGCCTCTGAAAACCAATCACCCAATCAAAACTTGAAGGTCGACCGTGCACACACCCCTTCACTGAGAGGAGTACCGAAAAAATACATGCTATAGGCATTCTTTGACACATTTCGAACACCATCCCACACACTGCCCGCCGGCCAGCAAATGGGATCTCCGTGCCACATGACATATGAGCACCTGGCCAGCGGTCTCGCGCAGTCTCGCGAAGTCTGGCGGTCCAACTAAAAACGCGAAAAAGCTGCGCACCACCGGCGAAGCAGGTCGGCCAAAGAAAGTGCGGGATGTGATGACACCTTCTCTTGACCGACCACACCTATCCACGTCTAGTACTGGTGAAGACCACACCGGTGATCACTGGCCTGGGGTTGCTTGGCTTTGTTACGGGCGGTCAACACCTTGTCACAAGTGGTCCCACTCTCTCGCTTGTGGGTGTCAAAATTGGGTCAAGGCCAAGGCCAAATGCCCTAAAACCCCGACTAAACCCCCAAAAGCTATAGTAGGTTGAATCCCCTGGTACATCCATGCGTGTTCATTCGCGCCGTCAACCCCGGGCCCTTGTGTTTGACAGCTGCCACGGCCAACGTTCCAGACCTTCGGCTGAGACCGAACCCCAATCCCCCCCACGAAGCGAGTCCTCCGCAGGTCGTTGCGCGCCGCGTCGTGGCGCGCCTGCTGAGCCCCTTGTCGTTGCGCGACCCGCCACATCTCCACACAGCGTTGCCCGCGCCCCATCTCCTGCGAAAGGCGAAGGCGCCTGTTGGGTGACGTCGCCAAGTGGTTATGAGGGAAGATGGCCACCTGGAGTACTTCGAGTGCTTTGTTGCCAAGTGCCGCCTGGTTTCAAAACTAACAATGCCACCCTGCAAGCCCATCACGTTGAAAGTGACCGACCCATGATTCCTTTCGATAGACATCACCCACATCGGTTCAACACCAAGATTGCTACTCGAACTGCATTCGAGAGGGAGAACATATGAGAAAATTCGATTCAAAGTCAGAGATCCCAAACCAGCACCCTCCTGGCCAGGCTGTTTGGAGACCCTAACAGGTGGTTTCTGGGCACCTGTCACCAGGTGGCGCACCTGTAGAGTCGGGTGCTGGAAGCGATCCTCACCCGACCGTCGCGACCCGGGCGGACGTCCCGGCCACCAACCACGGCGCGACCGCGACCCGCGGGTCCCAAAGGTTGCGCCAAGCCTGGGGTGGATGAGGCGAAAGCGAATCCGGAGATGGGGACCCTGAACACCCAGGGACTGCTTCGCTGGAATTGTGGGGGGCCTGGACACCCAGGTGCAGAGTTTTGGAACGCCGTGCCGCGGAATTCGCGCAGCAAGCTGACTCACAGGATCTGCCATGGTCGCAGAACCCGGTATTTGAATGTCTTTGAAAAATGCTTGAACTTGCGTGGGCATGGGCTGTATCAGGTGACATGTTGAATTGTCACATGAATGTTGACATGTGAATTAACATTAAAAAGAGAAGATCTTGCAGGGGGGTCAAGTCACTTCAATCAGTTGCGTGGCGGTGCAGCTGGGCCTACATGACCAGAAAAACCACTGCATTGTTTCGAGGACATCAGGGCTCTTCCATCAAAGACATCGCTGGCAAGGCTGTGCCCCCACCAAGCGTGCAGCAGCAGCAGCACTTCAACTCGCTCCAAAGGATCTCCTGCACCCTCTGGGCCCTCTCGCCAGGAAGCAAAGCCCACCATGATTCTGCTGATCTGGCCGTTCGACCACCAAGTGCAGCGGCCCAAAGACAGGGGGTCTGGTGCAAGAAATGGGGCGGCAGGGGAGGCCCCAAGATAAGAGTCCCTGTAATTGGTCCAGAAATGGCCGAAATTCAAAGGTCTAAGCAGTCCAAGCCAACCCGCTATAAGTGAGATAGCTCGCCGCGTCTGAGGTCACGGTGTCAGTTCTCAGTCTCCCTCGGCGAAGAAAGGCTTCCATCCGAGTGACAAGGGCTGTGATTGAATGACTCCCAGCAGCTGGGAGCAAACCAAGATGATCTGATGGTTAGAGTCCCTGTTCAATCAACAATGACGTTGATGGCAACCGCAAGGAACGACAAATTAGATTATTCTCTGTGGCTTTGGTTGAAGCTTAGCCAAATTTCACCATCTGCACGTGTTCAATTCCTGAGCGCCAATGTAGACTATTGATGGAAAAAACAAGATTGGGATTGCAAAACCCCTTCAGGCTTGAACTTTTGATTCTTCCAAGAGTCTACACCACCAAATGCCGTCACCGTTCCTGTCTCCCAGGTCCGACACCGAAAACGACGCCTCTCGTGTGCCACCTGGCCCACGGTGGCAGATCTCCGAAGCGACAACAGCTCCAATCCTCCCTGGAAAGGGGGATTCACTAGATGATGTGGGACAATGACTGACTGGTGCTTAGTAGGGAATATGGGAATGGATCCAGAGGGGCCCACAAAATACCCTAGCCTTCAAAGATCAGTTCCAAAATCATTCACCAGGCTAATGTAAGAACCGTAAAGCCCATGAACCGTCCAAGTATCAAATCCTTAAAGACCTATGGTGGGCCAAGAATGTCTCACAGCAACCCCCTTGGAAACCATGGTCCACACCAGGCATCGCGCCCTCGGGTCGGCGTCGTTGGAAGGTCGCTCGCCTTTGGAGGGGTGATGCCGTCGTGACCTACCAAGAATCCGTCACAAGTTCCGCCAGAGTCGTCGAGCCAGGCGGGCTGGTCGGACGGTCGCTTTCGCGGCCTAGCGTCCTGGTGGTGCTTCCCGTCTTCCCCGTCGTTTCCCATGGTTTCCCGGTGAAAACTGTCAGGAAGAAGCGCATTCAACCCCGACCTATGTTTCTGGTAGAACAAGAAGCGATGGCAGTGACTAAAGGGATAGGCCGTGAAGACAAGAAAAAGTGAGAATGCTCTTTAAACATCTTTACACTAGACCTTCTGTGTGCTATGCTATTTGTCAAATACATTCCAATCTTGAACAACTCTATCAGGAAGAGTGCAGCACAAAGACCCCGAAAAGCAATAAAACATCAGAGAAATTAGAGGCACCCCTACCCTGGCTGTCAGACCAATTCATCACAATCGTCATCTCATGTTCATCATGGCATCAGGAGTACCAAACAGAAAGAAGGCACTGCTTTCATCACGCGCATTCAAGAGCAGCACTTCTTTCCCCCGCGCGAAGAGCTGTCCAGAAACCGCCATATCCGCTGCTGGTCTCCTCTCAGCACGAAGACAACATAATCCATGCGGTCCAAATCGGCACGTCGAGAGCATCCGGATAGTGTGGGAGAACATCAACCATGATTCTTCATTGGACATATCTGGTCAATTGATGTCTGTCAACAACACAAGAAATCACTTGGGCTTGCTTTCTGAGTGATCTGATAAACTCCGACAGCCACCCAGTTCCGTGTTTCACCTTCTTTGCATGGCTTTAGGGCAAAGAGGTTTGTGAAGTTCAGTCTTTGAGAAGTTCGTCCTCAGTAGGCCCTCGTTGAATTCCAAATCCCTGCGACCAACTCGGGAAAGAGAATGTAAAACATCCACACTTGTTGGTGCAAACAGTCGGTGAATCTTATAGTAGTGAGGTTGTTTCCAAGAGTCCAGCTTGTTTGACCGGTGCCATGTTGTTTGTTTCTGGTTCGTCTTTGGGGTAAAGAAGAAGATTGTGCAATTACAGGTTGCGGGGCAGACCTCTCCTTGCGGGTTTTCAGATGGACGAAAACCAAGTGTTCAATTGAACAAAAAAGAGCAACAGGTGGTGCATCGTGCTGATTCACCAACTCGTCTTCTTGGGAAAAATATATCTCACACCGTCCTGCCTCTCGACGCGGGATGCCAATGAACCGAAGCCCCGGAAACAATCGGGACATGTAAATCAAGAGATCTGCAAGCTGTGACCATCGCATATCGCAAGGAAAAGACTGAATGGAAATGAGAACTATATATGAAACAATAGCACGGCGATGCCATGCAATTCCACGAGACTACATACTCACCACAAGAAACTCTTCGCTGTCCAAAACACATGTTCAGCCTGCGATGGCTGTAACAGAAGATGGTCCATCGCTCGGACCACATCCAAAACGAAATCCGGCTTTTGCACGTGCAGCAGGGCGAGCGCGCCCTGCTGAAACGCGTGCAGAAAGGGGGCTTGCTAGGCCTGGAAACTTGGCATTCATAGAGGCCCACCAGCGCGTTCAGAGGTAAAACTAAATGGTGTTGATTGTATCTGTATATAGATTAAAGAAAAAAAGTTAGAGAGAGTTAAAGAGGTGGGAGGGAGGCTGGAATTGAAAGAATGTCTTTTTGTTGGCAGACGAAACCGAGGCCACACCGGAGGCACGGTCCCGAGTGGTCTGCCAAACTGAATTGGTTTGACCGACGAAAGTTGGAAGATCCAAGTGTATGGGGGTGTATCCCATGACCCGGTTTCAGTGAATGATGGGACCTGCAACCACAGACCACTCTCAATGCGGCCTGGAAGCGGATGATTATGGCATGTCCCCGAACGCAGCTCCCCTCCGCCACAAGTCTGGATGCATCCGGATGCTACGGACCGCCGGACCTCCTGGCCTTATGTGGGGTTCACCTCGCCAGTGGCAGAACAAGAAAAAAGGAACAGTTGCCAGGGCCCAGTGGATGATTATGGTTGGGTTGCAGGCCAACATCCATCTCAAACATTGTTTTGCTTTTGTTCTCTTTTGCCGACTCTGTTACCGTTCTACTGGGACACCCCCCCTAGATGTACATATACTTCCCAGGCAAGTCTTACCCCATCTCATCCAGGTTTCAGAATTTGTTCGTTGTAGCGGGGGACGAAGCACTACATGAAGACGAAGCACTACAAGGTTGGCAATGGAAGTCTTGTCATTATGTTAACCTCTGTTTTTTCGGATGCCGGAGTCGAGGGCATGGTCACTTACAAAGCCATGGCACGAAAGGGTAACGAGGAGGTGGCGCGAAGTCAATGAGCTTGCGAAGTAAATATGCCCGGATCTTGCAACGATGCAACAGATCCGCATGTTTCATCCAAAAAACACACAAAACCATGGAAAAACCCGGCAGAGTTGTGTATGTGCATCATTGGAAGATCCAGGTTCTGCCAGGTCGTCTCGGTCGAACACCGGCAAAAACCACGTCGAGACTAGTAGACTACCCGGCCGTGTACCTTGGGTGCTTTCCCGACCCGCTCAGACAGGTGTACGAAGATCAGTGTGAAGGATCAGAAGTTGGGACGTCAAAGCTGCCAACATGGAGTTCTCGTCGAAGGAACGAGAGCTGAACGCGAACGGGTGATGGGCATCCTTTGAAACAGCCCCCGCTGGGGCGCAACGGCGGAGCTCCTCACACAAAGCTGCGCCCGAAAATAGTTCTGGAAAATATCTACCTCAGCCGGCCAAATGAGCGCAAAAAGCATCGACTTGGCCAAGTGACAGGGTGGCTGGTTGGTCTACAACATCACACGTGCCGGATCTGAGAAACCCGGAATTTCCTTTAGGTTCTACAGCTTTGCTGGTTCTTTGTAGCTTTGCTAGAAGCCACAGCACTCCCCAACATCAGATCCGCCATCCGACTTGAGAAAATGCGTCATCTTCAGCTCCAAGGAACTTCCAAAAGCCCACACCCCCAGTCAATTCCACCTCCCCCCCCCCTCCCCCCCCCCCCCCCCCCCCCCACACCGTTGCGTTCCCAGTGGCCGGTCCTCCAAGGGCCTCACCGCGGGCTTCACCCCCCAAATCACTTCGGCATACTCCTGCGGAGGCGCCGAGATACGTCGCATGAACCACCCACCGAGGCGTGATCGGCCGTCTGGCCGAAAACCACACCCCACACCGCGCCGATGGGCCGAGACGTGATCGGCCGTTCCACCACGGTGCCCCCCCGAAGTCACAAAGGGCAGCGCCCCAAAACGGCCCCACCTTCCACGGTCTTTCTGGGGGCCGGTCCGTGGACTGGTGCCAAGACCAGGACCACAACGGCTCCGTCAGCGGTGCCGGCGTCCTTGATGGTGCGATCGGTGGAGAACTTGGCCATGCTCGAGGCCGCCTGGCCAAGACTGGACGCAGAGAGCAACGCCGTCGCCACGAGCGGCGGCGACGTAGCCGTCGGCCGCCTCGATCCATCCCGATCGGACGTCTGACCCAACGGTCTGACCAGGTCCTGAAATTCTAAGTACCAGCACCAGCCTGAGACCGAGGTGGTTTGGTTCGACGCCCCATGAGACCGAGGTCTTGTCCATCCAAGGTCACCACGCGTGTGTCTCCTGGGTGGTGCGGGTCGTCTTTTTGTATCAACTCCAGTACATCATGAGGTCAGTTCCAGACCTGCAGGGGAGTTCCATTCCTTCCGCAGTAGGAAAGGCTCCGATGATGGTCGAGAGGTCGGAACAGGACTCAAAAAGGGAAAGTGAGGGACTCTCTGGAATTGGGGCCTCTTAGATGTTCAATTCCATGAGGTGGAGCCCACCCCCACTCACGTCAAGTGCTGCGATCTTGCGAAGTGATGAACTGTTTCAAAACGAAAGATCTCCCCATCCAAGGACTGCCAGCAACTCTCCAAACATCAAACATCCAGCCAGGTATATCCCATTGCCATGGCCCAGTGGATGATGGTTAGGTTAGGTTAGCCAGATCTTTCCATCTCCACGTGGCTTGTACAGGTGTACCCTTCAAAGAGCACCAAAATGGCTCACGAAATAGCCCCAAAATGGCTGTTGAATCCCATGCTGGGCCACGGCTCCTATCGGAAAAAAAACAAAAACAACCTTCCCCCCCTTGTCCTACCCTTGGGCGCCAAGAGTCCACAGCAGGTCCCCCAGGGTGTTCCGCTCGCATGACCACGCCTGGATGCTCAGCTTACACCACTTGGCCTTGTCCGCGTAAGTGGCATCCACCCGCGCCTGCCGAGCTCGGAGCAGCGGGAAGGACGGGCGACCGGACAGGCGGAGCCAACAGCGGGAGGAAGCGACAGCGGCGCGACGCCGGGCCGCTCGGAGGGTTGGAAAAAGGGGCGGGGTGTTCGAGGAATGGGGGAGGTGGAGCCATGGTGGTGCGAAATTGTGTTCGGAAAGTAGATGGAGGTTGGACATAGTTGGACTGTATCCATCGCAGGGGTGTGTTGGTCTTTTCGTTGGAGCTGATCACTGTCTGGGCCTTGTGGATTCTACACATGCACTTGAAGCAGCAGAGGACTCATTGACCCCAATTACAAAAAGAATGATATGGCTCTACATCCCAAAAAAGCTCCCCATACCTTGTGAGAAGGTACTCAGACCCTCCGACACTGTACCTTGCCTGGTCAGATGGTATTTGGAGCCCTAGGGGCACCACCTGTCTACATCAGCACATCCCAATGTTTGCGATGAGAGGATCGCACACTCCGTTCAACACGCTTGTGTCGTGTGCAGATCTGGATCTTCCAACTATACACAAGATTCGCCTAGAAAGCAGAAATTCCAAGAAATAGAAAAACAGCTCAAAAGCAGACATTCCAGATGATTTGTCCTTCAAAACGAGAACTCACCTGAGTCAATGCGGCCATTAAAAAAAGAAGAACAGCCCCCTCATGGGAAAAAAAAGAAGAAAAGCAACTGTCACGGCCAGACAAGTTCTATTTCCTCCCGACTCGCGCCGTCTCAACTCGCGTCCCACACGTCATCACGCGTCCCTCACGTCCCTCGCGTCCCTCGCGTCGCCCGCCTGGGCGTCGATGAAGCTGGGGAAATCCGAGATCACCAGGTACTTATCACCTCGGCAGGAGAGTTGGAGAACCACTTAGAGAAGGACCCTGGGGCATCCCGACAGGGGTGTCCTGGCTGGACTACCCCACACTACCGGCCTAAAGGCTTCCCGGACTACCCGGGCATCCCGACAGGAGGGTCCTGGTAGAGAAAACCTTTCCGTTTTTTGCCCCCCTTTCCCAGGCAGGTGTCCTGTAAGCCGATCCAGCAATATCTGACAGCTGCCACTGCGGGTGGTTTGGCCCTCAACCCCCCCTTCCCAAGTCCTTTCCCTTTCCTTTGTTGTTCGGAGAGTTGCTGGCAAGAGGGCTGTCCCAGCTTACGAAGCCATCAATGGAGTTTCCTAGCTACTTTGGGGGGCGCCACTGCCAACAAAGAAGGTACGATCTCATGGTTGGGGCTGTCACCTACTTGGGGTTTCTCCGATCTACCTTATCGAATTCGGTCACATGTGTTGCTCCCTCCTGACTCCTCGTCCATGTTCCTTTCGTTCCTTTCATGGCTTTTTCTGCACCAAAAACGAGTCCCAAAGGCTCTACAGCGCCCGAAAGGATCCAGGCATATATGGATGCAGGATGCATGTATGGTGGCTGTATGGGCCAGCTCCGGACAGTTCTGTCCAGCTCCACTCCTCCACGCCCGCTCGGCCGCCGCACCATCCCAAGTTCCGGCCGCTTGGATGTTGCAGAGCCGATCGACCAACGAGCAGAACTCCGCCTGAGCCTCCGGTTCCCCGTGGGAGAAGTCACCGTTGCGAATCGCCTGGCGGCCGGCTACGGCGGCCGGGGCGCCGCGGAGTCGATGCGGGTGCGGCGTGGGACCAGTTTCAGGGCGGAGTCCACGAAGAACTCGATGGTCCCTTCGGAAGGCAGCGTTCAGCCCGGCAGGGACCAGCACCTTCATTCCGGGGTCACCTGGCTGGTTTCGCCCCAGCCCAACTACTATCTGGCCTTTTTGCCGGGATCCAGCACACCCCTTGAAGGTGCAGGGAGGGTTTTCGAGTGTCTGAAAAAAACTCCTCCCATCCGCATCCCATCAAACCTCCAATACCCCCCCCCGTCCGTTGAGGAACGTCGAACCGAACCGAAGCCGAACCGCTAGGGCGGAGGAACGGAGAAATGGACTGAAGGTGAACTGAAGAGCTGTGCTTCTGATGTGTGAAGGTCTAAGTGCCAAGGAATGACACTATGCTATTGGTTTTCTTGACTGAGACAATGCTATTCAATTAAGCAGTGATTCTGATATTGAAGATATACTTGAAGCAAATGACCTTCCGGTTCTTTTGCCAGACCCAACAAGACACCTCAAGACCCGTTGGACCTTCGCCTCGTTGGACCTTGACCTTCGGACCCCAGACCGACCCACGCACGGAGCGCGGCAGACGCCTGGAAGACCGCCTGCAGCCGCGAGTCGATGGGATAGTGCCCACTCTTGGCCTTCGCCGCGATGTCCGCCACCTGCAGCGCGAGGTCGAGGTCGAGCGCGGGAAGAGAAGAGAGCGCGGAGGACTGGAAGATCCGCTGGAGGTCCAGGAAGCGAACGTCCAGGATGAGTCTTCCCGTCTTCCCAGTGACCGAACTTTGGACTCCCTGTTTGTGACCTTTTACAAGCCTAAGGTCACTGGGAAGATCCAGGAACGTCGACTCTCAGACTTCGCTCCACAAACCACCCGATGCTGTGCCTGATGCTCCAAGCAGCCGAAGATGAACATCGTATCTTCACCTGGTCCGGTCCCATCGTGTTCCGCGAGTCGTCTTCGGCCGGTTTGGAGGGGGAAGACCTTCTCCGGTGCAGCTCGGTCGACCGAGACCGGCGCCGACGACCTGAAGACACCGGTGCCGGTGCCGATCCGCTGGAAGCCGCTCCCAAGGGATCCGTGCTGACTTCGCTTGGTCGTAAAGGGGGGGGGTACGAAATACAACCAAGGGATCCAATGGAAGTGATCGGAAGCGATCCTGGCACAACGACCGGACCCCGGTGAAAGCACTTGGAGCGAGACGTTGCGCCGCTAGCCGGCAGAACAGCACATGAAGTCGCACACGAAGTCCATAGATTTCGTGTGAACCACGTTCGTGGCATCAAGAGTGGGGACATGACTCCTGGTGGTGTTTGACACCATATACATTCAATTGCTTCCTTCTTCTTCCTTCCTTCCGCTCACTTGGGAGGAGCACCTCCCAAAACGGATCTACAAAAGAACCCCGCCGTGTTTGGGGCATGTCGTTGCCGGTCAAGGCGCCACATTCCTCTCGGATCTCGATATTGGCGCCGTCCATGGTACCGACCTGAATGCTCTCGGTGTCTTAGCGTCCGATGGAACTGAGCACCTTTTGGTCCAGTCTAGAAGGATCTATATAGTCTAGAAGAAGTGAATGGAAACCAACGTCCTTCTCGAGCTCAGTGGGAACCAGTGTTAATCACCGTCCTCATGCCCACAAAAGGAAAAGAAAACAAAGCTGATATTCCATCCTGTTAGGGATCTTCCTGTCTAAACTACCCAACCCCAAACCCAAGACTTGAGGATCTTCCTGCTGCTTGGGGGGGCGGCGATCCCGATCCTCCACGCTGAGCCGCACCCCCCCGATCCCCGGTGGATCCGTGGTGGATCCCGCCGGTGGATCGGCAGTCGGACGCTAAGAAAGGGGCGATGAGGCCGCCGTTCATCACGAACTTCATGTTGGACGTTCCGGAGGCTTCGGTGCCTCTTGGCCCCGGGGGCGAGAAGAAGAAGAAGAAGAAGAAGCAGTCAAGGCATAGGGATAGGCCCAACAGGGTGCCACTCCAAACACGGGAAGTCGGTGGCCTGGCAAAACTGGGAGGGCTTTCGCACTTTCCCCGGTCTCTGGGACTCGCTCTTTGACCCGTCCCCCGCCCGATCTCGGAATCTGCAACCCAGCGTGTGTTTCTCTCCAGCCTGAGCAAGCTCTTTCTATCTCGGAATCACCGAACTATCCCGGTTTGGGGATCCAAAAAAGGTCAGATCTAGGTCCAAAAGGGTTTGACCTGGGTCTCCAACTCGCAGACTCTCCGAGCAGACTCCTACGCGAACGCCTGAAACGTCTTGTTGGACCTCTCGTGGAGCTCCGAACCGTTCGGGTGCAAGCAGCTCGAGCAGCTCTGTCCAGATCGAACGAAAACGACCTCCGTGTTGTGTTCGTCTCCCCGCTATTTCGTCTTTTCAGTGCCCCCAGGAGGTTGTCCAGTGCTCTCCGCTCAGCATCTTGACAAACACCCAACGACACCCCCACGGAACGCGGGCCCCCGAAGGGAAGTCCAAGTCGACGAAGACGAAGCCCGACGACCCCTTCGGCCCCATGGAGACAAGTCTTGCGAAGGAGTGCCAGTCTTGGGACCAGTGTATATAAGTGGCCGATGCTTTGGAAGGGTGGACCCTTACCAACACCAAAGAGATCGAACTGCAAGCCGCACAGGCCCCACCGAGCCATCTGAAGAAGGACTTGAGCGAACCAAAACCGGATCCCCGCAGGAGCGGAGATGAAAAATGGTCCATGTTGGCTCCCCGTCCCAAACTCTTCACCCCAAAGCTATCATTCTCATCCCAGCATCCCCATCGGCAACTCTCCAACTGCCCACCCACCAATGAAAACGCGTCCGCCTTCCACCGCTTCCACCGCCAATCTTGACGCGTCGCACGACTAGCTCATCGCACGACTCGGCGCCTGCGGTGGAGATGTGCTCCGAGATGTCCGACGCCGGGATCATCACCTTGCGGTTGGAGGCCATCGCTACCAGCACCTGACTCTACAGGTGCCCAGAAACCAGGCCATCGCTACTGGGGTCCACGTGGTCCAAACGGTTTGTTTTTTAAGCACCGTGGTCAAGAGGGCGTCCAGCCGGCCGGGCGTGAGTAATCAGCGATGCGCGGTGCCGGCCGTCCTGGGTTTTGGGGCAGCGGCTGGGCCATGCGGGGCCTAGACCACCAGTTGGGAGTCCCGAAGAGGAGCATCCTCCAAGCCAGGTCAAATATGGTCAAATGTGTTTCCTATCTCAAACACCCAAAGATCCTCCTCCCCTCTTGGTTCATCCCCCCCACAGAAGAAGGAGCACATCCACCATCCCCTGCGAAGCGTGATCCCGCCTGCGCCGCGGAGACGCAGTAGTTGGGCACCTCAACGGCGCCGGCGCGCGACTGGCACCAACGGCAGGAAGTCGAGGTTCGAGGGTCAGGGAGTGGCAGGCCGCTGTGAAGAAAAGCTCTTGATCCAGCACCCGACTCAGAAAAAGCTCTCCGAAATGGGAAAGAAGTAGGAAGGGCCTGTTACAGGTCGAACCATTGATGCAGTGTGAAGTCGGGTGCTGGATGTTGATGTTGATGTTGAAGGGATTCTTTCATAAAAGATATTGAAGAATCCGATTTTTTTGACCTTGACCTGTGGGTTTTGACCTGTTTTGACCAAGCCACCCATGTGGCTTGTCTGTATTCTTGGAGCAGATTCTGTTTGTGGCACCAGGGGCACCGACAAGATTGGTGCAAACTCTATAGATGAGAATATTGCTCCTAATAGCGATGCCCTTGTTACTAGTATATAGCAAGAATGCTCCTAGTAGTAAGGCCAGGAGCCCCTAGAAGCGTCCTTGTTCCTAGTCTTTGATTTTGCCCACATGATTGAACTTGATCCTCCAAGACGAAGAGCTAGACTCGCTAGACCCTTGAATCCTTGAAGCCTCCCCCCTCTCACAACCTTCAACTGATACCCCCCTACCCCACACACAGTGACCAAAACATGTGCATGCATCGATTTGTCCGCCCCCTTTGTCCACCAAGAGGCAAAGGCCACCTTGAGATATTTGCTGGTGTCTGGATCCTTGTTGATCACCTCTCACAAGAAGCACCGCAACCGGCGGAAGAAGTGCCGGTATCGGAGGGGAGATGGGTTTCTTCGAGCATCGACGTCGTCGACAAAGGAGCGAGTGGTGCATTCCAGGGATGGCACACGTCCGCATCGAACGTATGGTGAACGAATCACGAATCCATCGCCATGGCTCAGCATCGACCCGGCACCCGGCACCGAAGGCTGATTTCTGGTGCCCGCCTCAGTACCAGGGATGCTTGGGGAGGATTGAAGCCCGCCTCTCGCAGGCTCCAATCAGCCGATCTTGTGTTTCAAAAGGTCGGTGTCCATTGGAGCATCGAAGTCCAGATTTTCGCCCTTCCTGTCGCCCCTCGCATGCAACCCCCAAAAAGGAAGCCGTGAAAAGCCGTTGTCCTCTGCAAAGCTGGATGCTTTGGGGATCCACGAATGCCAACGTCAATCACGAACGTCACCCGCACCGCGCTACCCGACCTTCCCCACATTGCTAATGAGTTTGATGATGATCTTCGCATTCACATAGGCCGAAGCCGCCTGCGCCCCATACCGCCCAGGCGTCTCGGGCGGCTCGGTCTGGGCGGCGGTGTTCCAGTGTGCAAAAGGGTCCCAAATGGCACACTGGACCAGTCGGCACCGACCCTGGTCTCGCCCCGGTGGTTTTTGGGACACCCCGAAGAAGCACTAAGAGGCTGTGGACATAGAGACCTCGCAGAGTCAGGTCCTGATGAACTCACATTGACCTTGCTGAAATCCTCGACCTTCGCTTCTGGAAGTCTGGTGGGGAAGGTGTGCAGCCACCCACCCTGTGTGCCATCCATCTGATAAAGACTAGAACATGCGTCTGAACCTTCTCTGATAAAGACGTCTGGACCTTCTCACAAGCTGAGTTCGGATCACACAGCAACCCGCAAGTTTCTAAGTCTATGGCTTCTCTTCCAGGTGGTTGCTATGTCGGGGACGTTCGGAAGAAGAGTGACCAATTCACTGGTACCTGCAATGGGACTCATCCGGGGTCACGTATCATGACCTCCAAATCTTCTTTCGAGACAAGTTCATAATGTATGCATCACCTGTGGAAAATGCTAGCTTCACTTTCATGAACTCTTCTGAACAGCTTTCATGCTCCTGTTGGTGTTGACGGATGGACCAAACCATGTGGAACCCTTGCCTCCAAAAGCTTGCTTGTGGTGGAAAAAAAAGATTGGTAGAAGGGACGAGCAGTCTGCAACTTCGGTACCCTCCAGACGACTCGCACCGAAGCGAAGAGGATCCAAGGAAGCGAAGAAGGCGCTGTTTTGGGACTCGTCCAAATCCCCCAACTCCATGCCAGGACTATGGATGAAACGTGGAAATCCAAAGACTACACCACCCAAGTGTTCACCTATGTTTAAAAATGGTCGACTGGACTCCCTGGGTATGGATCAAACGTGGAAACCTGTATGGATCAGACCTTCCAGACAACGATCTGAAATGAATCCTTCACCTCGTTTCTCCGGGCTCCCGCAGACAGAGGTCTGACGACACTTCCAGTTCATAGCCACGGTTTCCCATGCCTTGCCACCAATGAGGACCACCCTCTTCTGGGTCTGGCAGACAGCAGGTGGGTGGTCCGGGTCAGTTTATTGAGGTCTACTATAATCTTATGGTGTACGTGGTACATCCTTAAAACAAAGTAAAAGACATAGAAGATCATAGAAGCAAAAAGACGTGAAGAGCAACCACCGGAGACTGCCCGAAAAGCTTTGTGTTACCAAATCCTCCTAGGTAAGTCTACCAATCCGCCTCTCCGAAGGCCCCAGAAAGACACCACGGGTCCTTTCGTGCCTGGTACCATTCACATCGACCCGGTCTTCAGAGAGGGTACTGATGGCGCTGATGGCCCAAACGCAACGGAAAAGACGGACGTGACACGTTCCATCACATGAGTCACTGTGGCTCATGGCACAGTGAAGAACCCTATCAACTGGACAAAGAAGACTAAAGAAGGGAAGGAGGGAGGTGCCTGACTCCTCTTCACCACGAGTCATAAGTCCACTGGAAAGAGACCTTCCACCTCCCCCCCGATCCGACGGCGTCTTCCACACGCCACGCCGGCGCGTGGCAACTAAGACGCCGTCCGTTCAAACGGGTGTCTGAAAAACCGCGGGTGTCTGGGTCGGAGAAAGGCGAGTTCAGGCGAGTTCTGAGTTCTGGCGCCTTCTCCCGCTCTCCGGGGGACTTCTTCTTGAGCTCCTGGATGGAAAGAGCAGTGGTTGGCTTCTTCGAGTTCCGGGAAGTTCGGGCTTCTTCTGGGTGGTGGGCAAAAAGGAGTCTGGAAGAAAGCAGTGCTTTCAACTCAGCTTGGAGGGTTTCAGAGGTCCTGTACAGGAATGAAAAACATGCTGAATGTGCCCTCTAGCTCAGCTCCTTTAACATCAGTCATTGAAAAACAGTCGATACACTAGTCTTAAAAATCAGCTGTAGTTAGATGTCAACCTTCAGTTGCTCGAAGGAAGTACAGATTAGTACAGATCTACAGATCTTCTCATCGAACTTGATCCTCTGGCTGCTTCGGTCACACACACAGGGCCTGCAGCTCGTTCGATCACATCGATGGACACTGGGAAGACGATGGACGGGTCGTTCTCTTCTTGACGAATGAATAGGAAGCTACGAAGCGCGTCGCGCGGTGGAGGCCATCGAGCCCGAACGTAACAAGAAGCTATACAGCTATACTAGTCATGAAGTATAACCTGCACAAAGTCGCAAAAAGTCTTTCAGAGAACAGCTGCTCTCAGCTGCTCGAGGTTCTCACCACCGCTTTCGAAGGGATAGACTCGCCACCGCCGCTTCCCTCGCCACGGTGTGCCCGCGCGTTTTGGGCGGGGGCGAAAGGGAAGATGGACGTGTCCTCCTCAAAAGAACAAGAACGTGTCTTTCCTTTCCCAAAGGGGCTCGACCGTCGTACCTCCTAAGACTGCGAAGACCCGCCATCAAAGCTCAATGCCATGCCCTAAACGACGCATCCAACACCAAAGAAACTGTCCTGATATCGGTGGATCACGTAAAGGATGTTCATCAGCTGGCGCTTGTATTCGTGGATTCGCTTGATCTGGATGTCGATCAAAGCGTCCTGCCGGGGGCAGGAGATGTGGTTCCTTTCCCAGAATTCCCGCTTTGACTCATGAACATCATGAACTACTCCATGGTAGCCAGAATCCAGCAGTAAGAAGAGTCATCACTGGACTTCCAGGCTTTCCTCCACCTTTTTGGAAGGTCTCCCCACTGGAACCCTTGAGACCTGCAGCGCCCCTACAGGTCTCGAAGGGGAGATGCCAAATTGTATCATAGGGTCCACATGACTCTCCTTTTGACCGATCCAAGCGGAGATCAGAGATCGGATCCTTGGGGTGTCGCATCCCTCAAAGCAGTGGCATTCCCTTGCCACAGAAGGTCCCTTAAGATCCTTAAGTGTCAATGTAAAAGAGGTATAAAAAGACCATCTGTGGAACAATACCCATGGTTTGCAGCTCCCAAAACTGTGGTAGGGCCATCCATGGACCCATCGAGAGCACCTTTTGTGTGGCCGCCAATAACCGTGCTCCTGAGCCTCGGAGAACCCCTGGAGGAGTCAAAGCTTCACCCAGGGTTCTCAACCTGATGTGAGGAAACCATCTATAAAGGTTGAACGGCCCTATAGCCTACAGCCTATCCCATATATGCACTACAGGGCCCCATAAGTAAGGACTCTCAACCTCTCTTGGCAATACCCCCAAAAAGGCTTGCGCAGGTTTCTTCACTTTTGGTCTGCACCCCAAAGAGGGATTCGAACGCTTGATGGACACGCTTGATTTACTTCGGGTCTCCAACTCAATTCCAGCTTGCTCTTTGGACCAGGAGGGCCCACCATCTTGTTCGGGCCACACACCATCCGGTCTGGTGGCTAATCTGTCCAACGGAGCCGCCCGGGCGCTCCTGATCAATATCCAAATCGCACTTCTCCTCGGGTCAATTCGCGGTACATCCTCTCTCCCACGTCTTCTCCCCTCAACCCCACCGGCTTCATGTGGCACCTGGTGACGGACCAGTCCGGTGTCAAGCTTCACGGGTTCCAATTCGGTGTCCTACCACTGGAAAGGTCCTGGCTCCTGGCCGTCGTAAAGTCAGGTCCGAGCTTCAGAAGACGAAAGGTCCGAGACTCGGCGTCCACCACAGTTACTACCCCAAAGGACCCGAGTCTTGACGTGCGAACCCAGCCAAAGAGAAAACAGAAAAAAATGCCAGCAAAAACCCGGGTTCTCCTTGGAGTTTGGAGAGCTCCAGGCGAAGAGGGAACCACCCACCTCATTCCCGCAACAACGAACCACCATGCGCTTCGTCGCCCGTCCGAGGCGGCCGCGGCCGCGCGGGGAAGGGAGTGCTCTGTTTCGGCTCCGCGCCTTGACGAAGGCCGCCAACTTGGCTTTGCATTCCCTCTTCCTGAGCCCGAAGGGAAGGGAAATACCGTGTCTCTAACCACCTCAATGGAGGGTGGAGACACACAGCAGCGAAAAAGACCGAAGGGCGCGTGGTAGTTCCTCTTCAGGTGCGACTTGGATGAGTTGGTGTGCCAAGTTGCCCCGCCAGAGCCTCCATGTGAGATATATCAAGTTCATTAGCATCAAGCACACCAACTCGTCGCCTAGGCCATGTTGGAATTTGGGACCAGACACCCCCCCCCCCACCAGGGGTCGAACCCCCCCCTCCGCTTCGGGCCGACGAGGAACATCTCCATCCACTCGGAGTGCAGCTTCGAGTCCTCCTTGAACTTGAGCATGCCCTGGCTGCAGGCTCTGGTTTTGGAGTCTGAATCCAAGGGGATTCTGGATTCTGGAGGGTTGATTCAACCACCAGAACAAAACCTAGGATGCGTTTCCGACTGTTTTGTTCTGCTCTGTTGTCTTTGAGACCACCATGCGTCCAAGTCCCGAGAAATCCCAAGACTTGTCTATTTCTTAGTTAAAGGAAGTTCCAGAAAAAAAAAGGAGGGGACATGAGACACGGATCGACCATTCTCTTACAAAGCAAGGCGGCCGCCTCCACTCGATGCACCTCTGACAGCCCTTCGAGATGCAATGCGTTTGGACCCGGTCTTCGCCGCAGAAGAAGGACGTGAAGAATAGATGCATGCCTGGAACCCCTAAGGGGTGTCTAATAATGGCTCCTTAGAGGTTAAAGGGTGTCCATGAACCACCCCAAACAGGGGGCCCTGGTGGAGAACCATGTTTATCATTGTTTATCTTCCTTCAGCCTACAAGGGGTTTCTTTACGTTCCTTCAACCCAAACAAGGGGTTTTGGCTACCAGAAAGACACGACCAAATGGTTAGACAAAAATATCAGAGTCAGAAGAAGGAAAGCCGACTTCCCCAATCCTCCAAACATTTGGGGCTCCTCCCTCTCAATCCCACGTGATGTGTCTCCATTTTTGGGGTTCTGTCTCCACCCTGCACGAATGTCACGCACGCCCGGCCAGGCCAGGCGAAAGGCGGCCAAAAAGCGGCCAGGCCGCGGCTTCATCGGCAGAAAGCCGCGGCCCACAAAGGAACCCCAACAAAGACAGCACCCAAACGCGACCCGTTCGGCCCCGAATCCTCGGGTCAGGGGTCGGACCCGAATCCGGAGGGGTCTAGGAGTCTAGGGTCTGGGGTCTGGGCAGTTCCAAAAAGGGTGCTATGCGAGGCTGATCCAGTCATGGGATTCAAGAGCCCTCGTTTGGAACCAAAAGCGCCTTCAGCTTGGTCATATCAGTGAGCCACCTGCAGCGCGGAGTTGCTCGGTCTTTTTGCTGCAACTCACGCGACCAACCTCTTTTGGGCGGAAAGGGATGGTGGAAACAAGGCGGCCCAGCGCAGGAAATGCTGATTTAGGTGCTTCTTTTCGAGCTACACAGAGATATAGACTTGAGTCTGACAGCCCCTCAAATTGAGGTGAGTCGTTTTTTCTTGGTGAGCCAAAGACATTTCACCACCAAGCTGTGGGTCAGGAACAGCATTCTCCAGAAAGGTCTCCAACAAACATCCTTTCTTTACCCGTGAACCCGTAAATGGCCGGTGCTTTTCTTCGTTGGAAGTGCTGGGTGCCACAGCTCCTTTTTGTCCCCACAGCGAAGGCCTTGTGTGATCGACTAACATTGATCGAACCAAGCATCCAAACAATCAACCCTGCCGAGTCCCCACCACCAACCCCGAGTCCCCAGCGCTCACGCTCCTCCGCCGCGCGCCACCCAGGCGCGACCCTGGGCCCAAATCCTTTGGAGGGGTCGGACCCGAATCCTCGGGTCAGGGGTCTGGGGTTTCTCACCACTCCCTAGGTTTTGAGGGACCGGAAGTAGGGCTGTGAACGGAGCGTCTGGGAAGTTGCCATACCGGAACAACCCTTTGTTCCTGCCTCTTTGGCTTTCCCAGCACAAAGGAAAAGCAGCAGCACTGCCCCGGTGTAACTTCACCGACCCCCGAGAGGGGTGGTCCCACCACCGATCCCACCCAAACGGAAGAGGAGCCGGCGCTGACGCTCGGTTCCTCCGAGGCGCTCGTGGGATCCCAGGTACTTGGTGAAGATCGCGCTCAGCGCGGGGTTGGCGCAGTGCACCCAGCGCCGGGGCGTCACGCCGTTGGTCATGTTCACAATCTTATCCTAGGTGAAGGCAGGTCAGGTCTGGAAGGCAGGTCAGGTCGAGGTGGCTGCGGTGAAGGAGGAGGAGTAGAAGGGCGGGGTCCAGTGTCGTCTCTTGGGCTGCAAGGCTGCAAGGCTGCGAACGGCTTCGTTGGATGTGAAGTGAGTTGGAGGCTGAGCTTCGTTGAGCCGAGAGAGCCGGCCGTTCCGCGACCCGGGGTCTCACGTGGTCTCACGTGGCCGAAATCACGTGGCGAGCCGCTGGCTTTCCAATGTCGCAGCAGTACTTGTAGAACTCAGGGAAGGTCTCCTGAGCATGGCCGTGAGTGCTGGCGCATGCGACGTGCGCACCCGAGCGTAGCGGCTCAGCAGCCACCATGTGCCTGGCAAAAGCAAACCCCCTACCCTGCTAAACATGTGCTACCCAGACGCTCCAAACAGCCCTTGGTCCCTCAAAACCTAGCGCCTAGGGATTTGCCAGACCCCTCCATATGAGGGCCCAGGGTCGCGTCTGGGTTAAAAAACAAAGAAACTGATTGATTAATGGATTCTCCTTCTTGATGATCTCGGTGTGAATGGCCGCCACACCATTCACCTCTCGTTCGCGTCCCCGAGTTCTGGCAGCCGAACACGAGAACCACGTGGCTGGGAGGCGTGCTGGCTCAAGGCGCAACGAGATGAAACATCGCTTCGCAACACCGCGTGTAGCACCAAAAAATACACGAGGACTCAAAAATTGGAACCATCTCTGAAAGGGCACCTTCAATGTTCGACCCTTTCTTAAAGAGCCTTGGCAGTGGACCGTTGGCTTTATGCGTATGGTGATCTTAAGTCATCCTCCTCTTGTACGGGAAGCCTGTCACCTCCTTTACCGGCCTCCATTTATACGTTGTTCTTCTTGAAACTTCAGCTTCACTCCCACTGACAAGAACTGGCTGATGTATACCAGGACCCAACGAAACCAGATTACTAATTCAAACTTTTCGGAGGCCCGAGTACCCTTCTAAAGAAAGGATCTGTTGAAGGGTCCTGGTAGCTTTCCTTCCAAAACAACCATGCCTTCGATACGACGGTTGGCAAGTCCCATGACCAATCATAGACGACTCTTGATCATTGAAAATGTCTTGCACCAACTGAAATCTTCAAAACTCCGCAGAAACGCCTCGAAAGCAACAGACTGGAAATAGTGGGATGCTCGGTTAACATGAAAGAACAACAACACATGAAATGAATCAGTTAACCATCACCAGAGGTCTTTGATGGTTTTGGCCACCAGTTCCAGGAGCCCCGTTCGTAGCGTCCTTGCTCCGTTCGTAGCGATGCCCTTTGCTCCTAGTAGCTTCTTGCTCCTAGTAGTACGCCCAGGAGCCCCTAGTAGCGTCCTTGCTCGGGTTTTGCCCACCAGTTCTGGTTTTTGCCCACCAGTTCTTTTCTTTTGCTCCAATACTACCACTAGCGGGTGCCTTGTTGGCGCCCATGATCGCCAAATTTCCCATGCGAATCTTCTTGATGTCGCCCTCCTCGAAGATGCTCCTGAGCGGCGAAATCGCGGCGAGCGAAATCGTCTTTCGTGGCTCAGAGACCCGGAGAGTCTGACGCTGCCCTGGAAGTTCCTGTGTTCTTCGCCCCCAACCGGTTTTCAGGGTCCATGGGATCGTCTTCCAAGGTGTAACTGGCGGGATTGAAGAGCCCCCAGATCGAAGAGGCGGCGCCGGCTCTGGGTCGAGCCGTCGAACCGGTGTCCAAAGCCGTGGGCTCGCATGGGAGGAACAAATTCCAAGCAGAAACCGGTTATGCTTGGAACGAATTCGAACATCTTTGGCATTGGAAGTGACAAAAACTGGAGAGTTCCATCGCTGTGGCACTGCTTGGGACTGGAAAGCTCCAGGAACAGACGTGAAAGCTCCACGTGTGCGCCTTCTTCGGCCGAACGGAAGCCACAAAGCCGACGGTGGTGACGGTCTGGGGCGACCCCGAGGAAAACCCCGATCGACGCGACTCGACCCCGCGACTCGATCCCCAACATCGCGACGAGCGACGTCCTGACAACCGGGACGAGTACTCGGAACGTCCCCAAATCCAACAACAACAACAACAACAACAAAACGTCGCTCCCCTGGATCTTCCGTTCGTGACCGAACACCTTATCCCGCTGGTTGCTTCGGGTATTTTAGACAAACGACTCCAAAGTTCGGTCACGAACGGAAGGTCCTGGATCTAAAACTGATTACAGATGAACTCCAGCAACACCAGCAACACCCGGGGTCATCAACCGAATCGCTCTCAACGTTGTCCGAATCCTCTTTCTGTGTACTTCTTCAGATCTCTGCCTCTGCTTCTGCAGAACAAGGTCACCTCTGCAGGAACCGCCAAGACGTCACGTCATCACCCGCAGCAGCGATGCAGTCGAAGAGCAGGGCCGAGATCACAGGCGAATGGTCGCCATACTTCTTCTGGAGATCTTTGATCTCAGGTGCAAAGACAGAAGAAGACACCGCCTCTCTTGGCGACCAAAGACACCATATTCTTCTTTGATCTCAGAGAGGTGTCTTTTTCAGCTCCAAAGACACGAAGGACCACGTTCGCCCAAACAAGATGTGAATCGCACAAGGACCGTTTGCCCCGATTGAACGATAGACGTGGTTGATATGATCAAAACCCTTCGGATTGAAAACCCTTCTGTTTCAAGGGGCTGGTTAGATTCAGTGAGATAAAAAGCTAGTGGCTGATGTGGTCTTCACATCGAAGACAACATATTAGTTTGGCTGGTGAGGGAGAAGGCGTTCTCAGCAAGCGTTTGTTGGCTGCGTGTCGGGATAGTTTTGAGACCCAATCGATCAAGAGGATGGACGAAGTCCCGTGGCTTGCGAAACTCATCGCTTGCGACCGATCAATGGTCTCCCCCTCAACACCCACACCCTTAGGCCGGACATCTCCTGTTTTAAGCCTTACTAACGAGATGCCGCAATCCCATCTCCGATCCCGCCATGAAAGAAGTTCTAAAGCGACCAACGTCCTGTCACTGAGCTCCTGGTGTTTGACGGTGCCGCAAAAATCGCGGTAGGTTGGAGACCATCGCTATTAGGAGCGATCGGACGCTACGAATGGGGCTCCTGGCCTTACTAGGAACTAGAAGCTGTATAGTAGAGGCTCCTGGCATCGCTACGAACGGAGCGATCGGACGCTAGTAGGATTGGTTCGATTTGGGGACGTTTCCTGCTCGCCGCGAGTCGGCAGGAGCTCCTGTTGGGGACTGCGAGTCTGGAGTCACGGGTCGATAGATGTTCAGCAATTAGGTGCCGCCAAACATCGCGGAAGACCGGGTGCCCGGGCCCATCGAAGGTTCAGCTCCTGAGTTGGGCGGAAGTTTGGGACGGATGCTGCAACAGAGCCCGGGAGGAGGAAACAAGGGGGTCTGGAGTCTGGAAGTCCTTTGGCCTGATGTGTTGAGTCGAGACAAAATTACACCACCGTAGACCCCAAACAGTTTGTGTTGTTCAAAATCGAAACTAGAGCTTGCGACGTCCAGAGCTGGGAGACAAAGGATTGCAAGGCAGAGGCGGCCACAGCAGCCCAGAGCTGGGAGACGAACGTAAAGGATTGCAAGGCAGAGACGGACACAGCAGTACAGAGCGGGCGGACACATCTTAAGAAAGAATTGAGAAGCCCTGACAGTAAACCTTTTGGGGAATTATTCTTCAAGTGCGAACATGATGCTGGTCATGCTGCTCAATCAGCAAGGAGCTGACCACGTGAGGACAAGAAATAGAAGCATGAGGAGCGAAGGATGTGACATGAAATTGATTTTTGGTGCCTGACGCATGCCCTCCGTCCCAACTGAACAGAGAGATCGCTGCCACGCCGCCGAAATCCAATCCGGTCATTCATCCAACGCTTGCCCGAAAAGGAAAACAAAGCTGAGAGAGTTACACAGTGTGGCAGAAATGCACTCCCGGAGACAGTCACGCGGCAGAAAACAGCAGTGCAGGCACCAAAACCTGAAAGACAAAAAGAAAGAAGTCGCATGGGAGACAAATGAATAGAAATGCTACATGGCCAGCGGAAAAGGGCGGCAGCACCAATGAATAGAAATGTTGCATCGCCAGCGGAAAAGGGCGGACACCAACAGTGACAGACCTGGGAGACTAATGCATGGCCGCAGAAAAGGGCGGACACAGCAGTGATGGTAGACAAATGAATAGAAATGCTGGATTGCCTGCGGAAAAGGGCGGACACCAGCAGTGACACACCTGGGAGACAAATGAATAGAAATGCTTCATGGAGGGCGGACACCACCAGTGACAGACCTGAAAAACAAATGAATAGAAATGCTACATGGCACCAGCAGTGACGGACCTGGGAGACAAATGAATAGAAATGCTTCATGGCCAATAGACAAGGACACACCAGTGACAGACCTGGGAGACAAAAGAATAGAAATGCTACATGGCCAGCGGAAAAGGGCGGACATCACCAGTGACAGGCCTGGGAGACACATGAATAGAAATGCTGCATGACCAACGGACAAGGGCGGACACCAGCAGTGACAGACCTGGGAGATGAATCGAAATGCTGCATGGCCAGCGGAAAAGAGCGGACACTGGCAGCGACAGACCTGGGAGACAAATGAATAGAAATGCTACATGGCCAACGGAAAAGGGCGGACACCAGCAGTGACAGACCTGGGAGACAAATGAATAGAAACAGCAGAAAAGGGCGGACACCACCAGTGACGAGCCTGGGGGACAAATGAATAGAAATGCTGCATGGCCAGCGGAAAAGGGCGGACACCAGCAGTGACAGACCTGGGAAACAAATGAATAGAATGCTGCATTGCCTGCAGAAAAGGGCGGACACCACCAGTGACAGACCTGGGAGACAAACGAATAGAAATGTTGCATCGCCAGCGGAAAAGGGCGGACACCAGCAGTGACAGACCTGGGAGACAAAAGAATAGAAATGCTGCATGGCCAACGGAAAAGGGCGGACAACGCCAGTGACAGACCTGGGAAATGGTACATGGCCAGCGTCCAAGGCCGGACACCACCAGTAATAGACCTGGGAGATGAATAGAAATGCTGGACACCAGCAGCGACAGACCTGGGAGACAAATGAATAGAAATGCTACATTGCCAGCAGAAAAGGGCGGACACCAGCAGTGCAGGGCTGGGAGACAAATTTATACAAATGAAAAGAAGTGGGAGACAAATGAAAAGAAGTGGGAGCCGGGAACCAGACCAGAAGCACCCAGCCTGAAAAGGAGTGGGAGACAAATGAAAGGAAGTGGGAGACAAGCCGGCCGGGAACCCGACCACAAGCACCCAGCCTGGGAGACAAATGAAAAGAAGTGGGAGACAAATGAAAAGAAGTGGGAGACAAATGAAAGGAAGTGGGAGACAAGCCAGCCGGGAACCCGACCACAAGCACCCAGCCTGAGAGACAAATGAAAGAACTGGGAGACAATTGCAAAGAAGTGGGAGACAAATGAAAAGAAGTGGGAGACAAATGAAAGGAAGTGGGAGACAAGCCAGCCGGGAACCCGACCACAATCACCCAGCCTGGGAGACAAATGAAAAGAACTGGGAGACAAACGAAAGGAAGTGGGAGACAATCCGGCCGGGAACCCGACCAGACCATCCAGCACCAAGGCGACCATTCTTTAAAGCATTGAGAACCCCTAACAGTAAACTGTTTGGGGAAAAAGAAGAGTGTTGACATGTGTTGACCTGGTTTGGTGCGTTTTCAAGCCGTTCAAATCATGGGATCTTCGGGAATCAAATCACAAATGGTGGGGCCACGAATCCGTAGGAAAAAAGCATCGAAACATCCGCCCCCTTTCGACTGAACAGGGAATTCGCATGGATTCATCTTGCGGATCATTTTGCCGGTCATTCCCTATGGATCCCTAACCAGACCCTCTGGATCCGTGGAGGGTTACTATGAGACACTTTGACGCTTTGAGGGTCCAACGACCTGACCTGGGAAGGCCATAGGAATTCGAGGTCCCCTTCCACAAAAAGCTCCCCTTCCCACCCCCCTCCCTCCGAATCCACCAGGGACCCGCACCCCACACCCACACTTGTGGCAACAACACCCCACCAATGGCGAACTCCACGCCAGCTCTCCCAAGAACCCCCCCAACAAAAACCCAATGGCCAACAACACGGCATGAAGACTTCAACAAGAAGAAGAAGCTATGGCTATTCCCCCTTCCACCCAGAGAATTCGTCACGCGGCACGCGGCACGCGGCAGAACCTTCGCTCCAAGAAACGCCGATGATTTGCAGGTGCCTGGGCAACATGCGCTCGATCATCTCCACCGGCCACTTCTCCAACGCCTCCGCAGCGAGGCCGGCGCACGCGAACGGCCGCGTCGCGAAGAGGGCGAGTCCTTGTTGGGGTCGGATCGAAGGGCTCCACCCACCATGAAAACCGGTGGATCGAAGGCGCTTCCGCACTCCCCGAAAAGACCCCTCCCGTGAAGGCGTCTGGCATTGGGCAGCTTCATCCTAGCCTGGCAGCCTTGCAAGACTGTCGAAAAATGCTTTGTACCTGGTTTTGTAGTGCAAAGCTATTCAAAACCATGGTTCTTCGTTATTCAATGCTGCGCCACGAATCCGGGTGTCATCTTCTCCCCTAATTATCGGGAGGGGCCTTCGTCCACTCTTCGTCTCCGTCTCACCGTAGGCGGTTGTAGGTCGCTACAACCGGTGAGACGCACGCACACACAGCGTATTCTTTCGATGGCACGCACGTCTGGGGCCCCGAGTTGATTGGGGGCTGAATTACGGAGCCCATTGAAGGTTGCGGCGTCTACTCTGAAACTACGGCAATTCTATGCCTACGACCTCCATTTCAACCCCTCCTGTCCGAGGCCAGTTTTACAGCTCGTGCCCCCCCACCCAGAAAAGGCTCCACATTCCTACACCACCCTGGCAGGATCCCAGGGTAGCGATTTCAGATCGGTCGGCTGGGTAGTCGGGGTCCAAATCCGGAGGGAAGAAACATACCCAAAACGACCAGGATCCTAATGTTTGGGTGTCCCGGCTGGAGGTCCAGTCTAGACAGTGGGCTGGGTAGTCTAGCCAGGACACCCACACAGGATGACCCAGGTACCAAACCATACCGAACCCCATATATATACTGTGAAAGTCTGTGAGGTCAATTGGAGCTCCAAAGGTCATGATCTTCCATAAAGAGGCGAAACTCGCCGGTCCATCGAGGTGCATATGTCGGTTCCTCTCCAAGAAATACCCGCTCCATCTCCCACACACCTCCGGCATGACGGTGTGGTTGGTGTAGTTCAAGCCTTGTGTTCGACGGCTGTGGAGCTCTCTTAGGGTGGGGCTATCAGCTATCAGTCTATCCTGTTGACCATGGCGGATAGCCCCTTGCATGGATGGTCAAGCATCTCCCGGGTCATGTGTGTTTTTTTGGTTGCTACTCATTCGCTCAGGCAGCGTGGACTTCTTGGTCTCCTCGATTCGCTCCGCCCACTAAGGTGCTTCGATTCCGGGCAGGTTCTTCTCCGCCCACTTGGACCGATTCCGTTCACCGATTCCGCGCCACGTTGAAACCGCCGAGCGGAAGCGCGCCCGAGCGAGCGCGCATCCGGGCGCAGCGGGATCGGACGACGACTCATCGACGGGATCGTGGGACGGCGGGACGGTCTTGGGCTGTCTTATCACCCTGGAGTAGCTATGACCCTAGCCTTCAAAATGGTTGACCTGGTCTTGTAGTGTAAAGTCCTTAGTAAAACAATGGTTGTTAGGTAAAGACTCATTCAAACCAATGGTGGTTTGAATCCTAGGACATGAGGAAAGGAGTTCTTTCTTAATGGATGAAAACCCGCCCCCCCCCGAACTCGTTCGACTCCACGTTCGCTCCTTTAGGTTCCTTTTGCTATTAGGTTGGAGGCCACCGCTTCTAGGTTGCAGGCCATTGCTATTAGTAACTCACTCACTCCATGTTTCCTTGGTGCTTCAATCCACCGGGCAAGAAGCGCGGTCCAACCGCGCGCGCTCGACGGACACCGTTTTTCGGTGGAGGGCTCCGTAGGGAGCCCTCTGCGGGCAGCAAAACCATCGCCCGACAGGTCCAGAGCACTGACCTCATGAAATACGGGAGTTGCTCATGCAATGTTACACTTCACTCCCTACTCACCGCGAAGCCGCTTTGGACGGACCGCTTTGGACGGTTCCGTTAAGCTGCCGAAGTCAAAGCAGTTCCGAACTCGCATCAGTGGGTGGACTTCCCGACTCCGAACTCGCATTGGGACCGAGCGGTGACAAAGCAAAGCGTCATGACGAACCACCCCGAGCAGCCACGACGAATGAACACCGGCTGCTCCCGTACGCGACCGAGCTTGGGAGCGCCCCCTGCGACCTGCGACTCAGACGGTGTGGTCTTCACTTTGCTGCAACGAGCTGGGTCGAAAACGCGGCTGCAACGACGTCAGACCCTGCAGGACACATCCAGCGTGGTCTTTACGGACTGGGCATGGTGAAGAATCGAAGATCAACGCACACACCCTGCAGTAGTCTTCAGACACCCGACCCAGCTCGGATTTCTGCCCCCCTCCTCCCACCCTGGTACATTGACCATGTTCGGTGGGAAAAAGGCGGCCAAACCCAGTGTCCCCCCCGTCAACGTCCAACACCCCATCCCTCCGGGCCCCCCGGCATTTGGTGGTGAGATCCCAAGCTTCCTCCCAATGCACGTGCATCACGTCCACCAACAAGCGCATCATTTCCGCGACCTTGGTTCGGACGCCGCCGACGCGTCAGACGACGTCACATCACGTCCCGAGACCAATTGTCCGCTTGGAGTTGTCTCTCTCTTCGTGTCGCGAAGTGGTCCGGAGTCGACTCTGTATACCTTGGATTTTACGGCTGCCAGATGTTCTGCCCTCTTTATCTATCACCCAAGTGAAGGCCAGAAATGTTGCATAGTTGGAAGATCCCGGTATCTCTGGGCGAAGCGAAGAGAAAGGAACCCAAGTATCCCAAGTACCGCTCCAAAGCAAGGACTTGAACTGTCTGGCGCTTGGAAAGCGTGGCATACACCAGCATCGCCTCAACCCCTCAACCCCTCCACCATCCCCTCAACCCCTACATCACGTCTTCCCTCCTCCTGCTCCATTCGTCGCCCCGGTGTCCAAAAGCCATGGGACCGCAATGGTGGGATGGGTGTCGTTCATCTGCACGGCCACCTGGCGCGCGAACCGCACGTGGTCGAAGCCCAAAGAAAAGGACACACCCAAAAAGCACCAAAGCTTAGCTCTTGGAAAATACCTATAGTTAGTTGGGGGATCTGAGACAACCACCCGAACTGGATGGTGGATGCGCGAAACGGATCGGTTTCTTCCTGCCCCCCCGTCCTTCATAAAAGGTGGTCTGACCGCCGGGGGCCCTCGAGCGTTTCCCGAAGCATGGTCTTGGTAAAGTTTCTAATAGCTTCTTGTTACTAGTGAGGCACTTGTTACCAGAAGCGATGCACTTGTTAGGTTCGTAGCTTCTTGGTCTTGGAATCGACGGCATCCAGTTCCAAGGCAGGCCGTGAGACTCGTGGCAGTTTCTTCGGATGTTCCGAGCAGGTGGAGATCCCCTCGACTTGTCGGGTTTGGGGAGGGTGCGACTCCGCAATCAACTTGTGACTCCACAAGTCATTTGAGGCGAAAACAGAATCATTCAGATTCATTGAGAGGTTTTGCAAACGAGCTCGCTGTCCTGTGAGTACTGAGCAAAACCGCAAAACGAAGCCTCTTGGGTAAGGTCGCCGGGGAGCCCCGTCCGCGAACGAACCAGGCGGGGCCAACCCAAACCATGGATTTGATCGAATCCTCGCTTTGCGGCTTTCTCCGTCACCCTTCAAAGGAAGCAAACATGTGAAGACTAGGGGCCGCAGGCGGCCGAGGGCGGCCGAGGAGCAGCCTCCCGGCAGAATGTTCCTCGTCATTTTGGTCTGCCGTTCACGGAACCTCAGTGCTTGACCAGCAGCAACGCCACCTCTCGCCACTCCCGACGCGCGCCTTCTCCGGGAGTTCCGACCACTTGTAGTTGGGCCTCTTGATGAAGTCGCGCAGCAAATCCTGCCAACGGCACCGCCCGGCAGCGGCCCAAAACAAGGCAAGCAATGTCTTTCTTGAAGAAAAAAGACCAAAAGAGATGCCACGAAGAGTAGCTGTGCAGCACAGCAAGAATGCGCACTCTTCGAAGAGGCCATCACCTCAGGGCGTTTTCACCGTGCCACTATCGTCTCCGAAGTCGGGCCATGACTCCGCCCAAAGTCGGCACTCCTGCAAGGAGGCGCTCACGAAAAAGTACCTCAGAACGGCCCCGGTCCCACAGTGGTGGGACGGCAGAAGGGATGCTTTGCGATGGCCATAGGGACGGCACCCAGAAGGGATGCACCCATCTGATGTTTGATTTCTTGGATGGACAACTTCATGGATGATGGAGTGTTCCTGAGCTGTTCCTGGTTCCCCTTTGTGAATAGTGTTCAGGTCAGAAGGGACTTTACATCGATAGACTCTGACTCGGCGTTCCCTGCGCTAGGCCGCTCGGCTCTGTCGGCACACCATTTTTACCAGTCCAACATCCAAAGCCCCTTGGAACCGAACCATTCAAAAGAACAAAATAAAGGCAAGTCCCCAGTCCCCCTCCAAAAACCTAATAAACCCAACCCTTGCAGGTCTTGGCAGTGCCGGATTGAAGGGCATCGGATTGATCAACCGTGACGGAGGCACCTTCTCTCTCTCACCCCAACCCTTCAAAAAGCAACAGGATCCAAAAAACACAGCATCTACATAATCCCAAAAACACCTCTGAAAGGTATCAAGCCTCATGGAAAGCGGTGCCAAATGCTTTTTGGCATCAAGAAGGGCCAACAAAAATCGATCAAAATCCTGTGGAGGGCCTCGAGACCTGGTCATTATCATGCACGGTACAATCAACCTATCTGTTTTTCCCCCCCTTCTCTTGCTCTCTCTCTCTCTCTCTCTCTTCCGAACCCTTCGGGAACGCTCCTCCGCAGCAGCTCCGAACGGCACCACCCGTGTCCCCCGTCTCTACGCCCCAAGCGGCTGCTGTCGCAGCCGGAGCTCCTTGCCCTCGTAGGTCGCGTCGTTGGGGTAGAGCACCGCCGACAGGTCCTGCGTCGAGGGTGTTAGTCATCGGAACGGGTCGGGTTCGGAGCGGGTCGTGCGAGGTACGTCTTCTGTTTTCCATCAAAACCAAGCACCCCGGGTGGCCCTGGGTTCTTTCTTTCTAAGAACCTGCAAGGTTCTCTTCATCTTGTTTGTAGTTGGGGGTCGTTCTGTCTCTTGGGGGGCCAAGAAGCACCGCACTGAGGAAAGAGAGCAATGAAACTCACAGAAAGAAGATTTGAGGGAGTCATTAGGAACTGCTGGATGCAAGGAATCAGTATACAGTATACTGGTTGGGCAACTCAAACCGAGGTGAGAGCAAGGCAGGGTATCATGCTCTCTCTCCCTCTCTTGAGAAATCTGACCCACTGACCACTGATCTGGTTCCCAGTTTGGACCTGCCCGAACCGCCATGGCGCTGAACCCTTCCCCTCGTCCCGTCCGCTCCAGTGCTCCAGTCCCCGCTCCAGTCGCGCCTCCGCCTTGCGGCGGCTCTCCACGGAGTCGGCGTACGCGGCGGCCGAGAACATGTCCAAGTCGAACTCCTGACGGGACGGGACCGACGCGACGGACCGGCAGGGACGGACAGGGATCTCAAGCCAGGTCGCCAAGTCAGTCCGAAGGAGTGAGGATTTGGTTCGGTGTTCCAAAGGAGGTCAGATATACGAATGATCCAAAAATAATATGAAAACCGACATGATACCATCTACAAGTACTTCGTTTCTTATGAGAGCTGCAGGGGGACTGTGGTAGTACTCTTTTTTCTGTGCTTCTACCCCTGTTCTGTTTTTGGGGGTCATGAGCCATGGTGGCCATGTCCCCTCAACGGAACCGACGTCGGCTCACGTCGACACCACGTCGCGGCCCGGCTCCACGGAGGGCCACGGCCGGTGACTGTCGTTTTCTGCTGCTTCCATTCCAAAGCGTTGGATGTCAGGCTTCAAAGCCACCAGGTTCAATACCATTCTGCTGAAAAATAACGTTGAAAAAGCATGAAAAGGCTTTCAGGTTCCATACCACCGTCAAGAACCATTACCATTGTTGCTTGCAACACTTCTATCCCCAATGATCCAGAGGTTCAGAAGGAAAAAGACCCAAGAAATGTTCCCCAGCCCGCGCGCCTTGGAGGGGCAAGCGCGCCACAAGCGCAGGTTGTTCGTGTTGTAGGTGTCGAAGCCCGGGATGGGGTTGTCGTATGCCATGGCCTGAAGACATATGAACCACCATGGACTTCGACAAGGCTCAGGAAGAACAGTGGATGAAGTGCAACAAAATGCTGGGTGCACAGACAAACGACTGTCTATAGCATCATTCTGCAGTCTATAGTTCCACAACGATGAAGCCTTGTTGTAACGGGGTTGAGGCTTTGTTCTCTATACAAATGAGCCCTGGCTCAATCTTGACAATTTGCGGCATGGGCATGGAGGTTCTAGAAAAGTGTTTGCACAGCCAACATTCAAAAACTCAAAGGATTTAGATTGCTTCAAAGGCATCCACAATGTCAAACACCTTTACGACTATTTGAGGATGTGTCATTGCCACTCGTCGCCACTTTTTTCCACCGGCTGGTTCTCCCAAAGGTAGGTGTGGGCTCACCGACAAAAGGCTCGAGCGGGTGAAGATCAAACACACATGTCCATGCCCAGCTCATCCATAGGACTGGAATAGTTACCTACATCGCGGTCATTTTCATGGGGTAAATGTATGATGTACGATTCCATACGTGGATGGTCTGGGATGTTGAATTTGAAGCACCACCCCACCCAACCCCCACCCATCCCAGGCTGTGGCCAGGTCGGGCCAGGGTAGATACACTCCACGACGGAACAGACACATTTACCCGTCAGTTGGGATGGTTGTTCAAGGGGTCAATGTAGACATATATCACATATTCCATACATGGAGTGTCTGGGTTAACGAAATGTCGAAGATGTCAACAAACTAGAAATCTCGTCATCCGGTGTGGCTTCCATGATTTCTACTGCACGATGAGAGGTCAGATATGAGAGGTACGATCAGAGTGAACATCTTGGGGACTCCACGGTCCACAGAGTCCCTGAAATCATCCACCTCTTTAGTCACCACCTCTTTAGTCATCCACCACCTGGTCTTCGAGTTTGCCACCTCTTTCGTCACGGAAGAGAAGCTCCTTACGTCCCTTCCTTCAGGGGCACGACTAGATGACGAGATGGACCCGGAAACACCGAACCCGAACCGAACCGAACCGACGCCGGTCGTCCGGTCGCTTCTTCCACGGCCTGAACGATCTCGCCGCCCACCCAGTTCCTGAGCTGGGCAGGCTCGGGCGGCACCGGGAGCGTCTTCGATCGCACCCGGAGCGAAATCGAAGAAAAAGAAAACAAGCAGACCGGGTGATGGAAATGGCTCCAGAAGCTCTCTTTGGCGAAAAGATGCGATCCATTTAATTCCAAACAAATGTGTATTATGATACTGCTGACGATGCACCCTTTCGATGATCTGATCTTGCTTATGTCCACTCGGTGAATCTCACCATGACCCGGGTCACATCTCTCCCCCCGTCGTTTTTGGGGTGCCAACACTCCTCTGAGGGAGGGCCCTAACACTCCAACCACCTCTTTAGGCTCAGCGGCACGCACCAGTTGCCCTTCTCATCCTCCCCGTGGGTCACCTCTCCGTACAAACGCACCGGGTAGGTGATGTCCTCCGCGCTGTGACGCCGGCGGGCGTGAAAGAGGCGCCGTGAAAAAGCGCGGATCCTGTTGGTCATATGTTGTAACTGCGTGGCTTCGTAAGGTCAGAAGACCACACATCCATGGGAAAGAAGAAGTAACTAAATGGCGTCCCTTGTTCGTGGTTGCGGGGATTGTCCAGCAGGTGGTGATAGGAATTCAAGCCATCTTTTGAGATGGCCTGGCTTCCAAGGGTGGTTATTTTATGGCCGCAAAAGCCGTCTGTGATCTATCCAACCCCCAAAATGTCATGATCTAATCAATGTATCATCTACACAGCACATGATCATATGATGATCATCTATCTCAACATACTCTGGACGAATGTATATAAGAGAGCATGGAAGAGTCGATCGTTCAGCTTGTCCCCATGGGCACCACCTTCTAAAAGCCTGTTGCGCTGTTGCTTTTGACCGGAGGCAGGAAGGCAAAAGCTCCACTCAGCCAACCAACCCAAATCCGTTTCCACAGCCATCCGGACATGGTCAAAACGGACAGAAAAGGGACCCTGGCCTTTTTACCACCGAACATGAACAGAATAGAAAACCACACATGGTCACACCAGTGCTACCCGTCACCCTTCTTCGTTGACTGCCATCCAACCGTCGCCATCCGTCCGGTCGAGGGATCTCGAAGGGGCACCCATCGCCGATCCAAAAGTCCGGACACTCCACCTGAAGGCGTTGACTGCTAGCATCCGCTCATCTCATGTGCACCACGGTCCCAGTCACTACAAGGTCCCAGTTCAGGTCTCAACAAAACCGAAAAACCCATCACCGGCACCGGCCGTTGGGCCGTTTCGGTTTTGATTTCGCGGGTCTTGATTTGAAAGCGCAAGCGAACAAAAAGCGCAGAGGCGCGGTGTTCGAACTGCTTGGGAACCCCACAGGTTCGGAGTCGGAGCTCGCCCCCCCGGAGCTCAGGCGTTTTCGGGTTCTTTTGTGGGTTCCACATGCAAGTTCGGTACCAAGCTGTTGATAACCCTCCCAAAAATGAAGTATCCTGCTGTTGAAGAGTGAAGAGGAAAAGAGACGTCCAAATTCCCAGCCCAGCGAGAATAGGGCAAACTAAAAGGTCTTGCCTTTGTGATTGGTCCCCCTTGGGTTACCTTGGGTTAATGGCACCAAAGGCACTTGGCGCAAGAAGCACCTGAAAGAGATGTCTTGACTACAGAACATTATAAATTACTTGTCAGAAGTGCCAGCAACATGGACCCAGCCCCGCCGATCCACATGCAACATCCTCGTTTGACAGGACATTCTCGTGCCTCCTCTCATTCTATCATCCTATGGAGTACACTAAGTCCTTGTCTGAGAGACATTCTGCAAACATCAAGTTGAGGAGCTTTCTTGCTTTTCCATGTGTTCTCACTGCACCCCTCTTTCTCTCAGGTGAACCAACGGCATGGGCGACGCTGACCAAGACCCCCAACTGTTCTCCCATGCTCCTAGCTTGTCAGCTAGCCCAACTGCCCCAACAAGAAGCTCTCGGCTTCCATGGTCGGTTTTGAGGAGTGCTCTTCACGGGTCGCTGGAATCTGTGTAAAAAGACATCTTATACCTTCGAGACCTACAATGGACTGTCCATGTCACTGCCCTTTTTTGTCGAAATGAAGGCAAATCTGTTTGAGTCCTCGAAACTCGGCAGAAAGGCTTTTTGCCTCATCCGAAACCTCCGCAAACTTGGCCCCACCCATATGATCTCGAAAGGCCTGGCGTCCGTTCTGGATCTCCTGCTTAAACATCCCGTAGCTGTAGCCTCAACGAATCAGACGAAAGGTATGGAAGGTCTGGACGAAAGGTCAGGTGTGGAAGCAGCTGAATCCGATTTTACACGACGAAACGAGGTCGTTCCCATTTCTGAAATTGGTCTTGGAAGGCTATGGGAAGACATCAACAGACCCCTTGTGCCTTGTGCATCTCAAGATGAACCAAATCGAGATACTCAGATGCTTCACATCAACGGTGGTTGCGATTCGCCCGGCATTCTGTGAAGGATTCTGAAGAGCAATGAACAGCCATCGTCCTGTTGTTCCACACAAAAGCAATGTAATTCCTGTCTATCCCGAAGAGAATTCTTGCACCATGAAGCAGATGTGGTTCAATCATCCTGATGAAGATCCCACAGTATCACAGACATGGCCATGTTCCCCAACCAATCCTGGCCCAAAGACCCTAAACCCAAACATCTCTCTCCAAACCGACCTCAACTCCGCCATGTTGAGTTGTTCCCGACCGGCCCCACCACCAAAAACCACCACCCAAAACCAGAAGATCCGGGAAGGCGCGGGAGTGCCGCGCGGAAGTTCCAAAACACGGGTTCCACGTCAGACGCCGACAGAAACCGTCCCGAGGAACGAATGCCATAGCCCCAGCAGGGCAACGACAAGGTCGCCATGGAGTCCTCCGAACCGCGGTTCGTCGACGCGATGAGGAAGGTCGGTGCGGTGCGGTGTCACTGGTTCTTCGCTGAAGTGAAGAAAGGAAACCACCCGACAAGCTGAAGACGACGAAGAAACCATGAACACAAGAAAAACAAAAATTACAACAAACAAGAAAATAAGAAAAAACACCAACACCGCAACCCAGGCAGACTTCAAAAGCTGACTTCAAAGAGGACCATTGGCCGACATTGGCAGAAAGAGCTACCGGTCGTGCTCTTGGAAAGGCTCTGACTCCTAGATCCTTCAGGAGTTGGTCGCCCTATTCGGCCGGCTGAAGGAGCCGGCCAGCGCGTCTGCAGGTGAGACCCAAACAGGTGGAACAGGTGGAAGGCCTTAAGCTTCGGATTTCTTGATTGCTTTAGGGTTTAGGGTGGGGGAGCTTGAAGGAAGATTCCTTCTCGTACTCCACACATTCCTTCCAATCTCCCACCACCTCCCCAAGCCCGGAATGAAAAACCCAGCCGTTCCCACGCCACGCACGGCCACGCACGGCCACGCCACCGCCACGCACGGCCCCAGACATCGGGCGCTCCAGAAAGCATGCAGCAAGGCGCCCCAGGCCGCCGTTGCCCAACGCGGGATCCGCCTCCTCATGGAAGAGCTCCTCCCAGCAGATCGGCTTGGAGCGGACCCCCTTTCCCCCTCCGCTTCGCCCCCCATGTGCCGACCTCGGCCGAAGGTGGTGGATCCCTCCCCGGTGCCGGGGGCGGCGCGAAGCGGCGCGTGCCGAAGCAGCAGCTCCTCCAACTCCATGCCCAGTCCGATGAAGGCCTCCTGGCGAGAAAGGACGGATGAGAAAGGACGGATCGGGTCCGAACCTGTCGGGGGTCCCAAGCAACAGACCCAACAGAGAAACCCCAAAGGCCCAGAGTGAAGCACACCGCCACCCTTTCAATCGCCAGGGTCGAATCAACGGCACGCGCGCCACCGTTGTGGGGCTCCATCGCGCCAGTCGTCCCGCAACGAAAACTGCGCAAGGGTCCCGCAACGCCGTGGTGGCAGGAACGGCACCGGTCTCGACGCTGACTTCCGGGGATGAAAACCCTGGAGCTCGGTAGACAGGGCCGGGAGACAGGAGATTGGACGACTCAATGACTACACTATGTCACTACATACGATGTGACAGGGTGGCTCAAGGTTTGGCGCCGAAACACCGGGACTCTGTCTTTGTCTCTTTGTCCATCCTTTTCCGTCCATCCTACCACGTTGGCCGTTGGCTGGTACCAGCATAGAAGCCAAATAGCAAAAGATATTTGTGGCACGGTAGAAAAAAAAAGAAACATTTCATCTATAGAGTCGTTCGGGTCGTCCACTTCGACGTAAACATCCTCCCATCCTTAAAAGGCTGCTCCAAGTCGAGGTTCGCAATCGCGTTCCTCCGCACGAGGAGCGAAAAGGAGGTCGGTCCGGCCCCGTCCAAGTGCCCGGAAGTGTCAACATAACTTAGAAGCCAAACACTATCTCTGTTTTTGTAGAATCAACTTTCCAAAATATGGACATGTTAAAAAGGATGGGGAGCTCGATTTCTGAAAGCATCCGCAAAGCCTTGGCTGGACCTGTTCTTCCGCGTCGATTCAAAACCCAGACTGAGAGAGTGTGACAATTCCGTCACAATTGTCAGTGTGTATTCATCCTGGCTAAAGCACAAAAAAAAGTCAAGGAGGTCAATCTCTACATTCCAAGAAAGCCATGCAATACTTGATGGGCATGTTGCCACATTACCACAGAAAGCCACGTGCACAGAGAGAGATCCCTGGGCCAAACAAATCGAGTACTTCGCAGCTTGACCCTCGTCACGCATATGCAAGCCAGCATCTGCATGTGACGGCCAATCAAATACTCCGCGGAGAGGTAGTACCCACGCTTCACGTCCATCTTCCTGCGAATTCGAAAAACTCCGCCCAGGAAGGCGTCGAAACGGAATGCGAAAGTGAACCCGTCAAACAACCCAGGGTGGGGTGATTTCTGTGAAGAATCCCGCGTTGATGTGTGCCTCAGTGCGAACAAGCAAAACATATGAAAAGTCACATGATCAAACATGTACCCTGAATAGCCCTAGGCCTTGACAATCATGCACCAAAAAATGGGGCGTGGCTCGGTCGCTGGAATTCTTCCATCCTGGTCTTCCTTCTGGCCCGCTTCCCCCTGCGTTTCTTGCTTCTTCATCAGCGTCTGAAACTCCCTTCACCCAACAAGTTCCGACACCCCGAGAAAAACGAGCTTTCTTCACCTGACACCCTTCACCCCTTTCTCCACTCCGTCCACCTCTCCACCTTCTCTCCTGTAGTAGTCGTTGGTGTCGTTCAGGGACTCCAACAGCCGATCCCGGAGCACCAAGCCCGCCGCGCGGTAGGCGTCCTGACCACGTGGAGGGGCGGAGTGGGTTGGCGCACGAAAAGGCCAGGAAGGGGGGAGGGCCCAGAACAAGAACCAGCTGGATCCGTCTTTTGGCGCTTCATCCTTCCAAACTCACCACCTGTCCTTTAAAAAAGATAAAGAAGGAATGCAACATAAAAACAGAAACACACACAACCCTGCCTGTTTTAATCAGTCACCCATTCAGATCCCATCTCCCCCGGTCCTCCATGGTGAAGTTGAAACGAGTGCAAGCCAAGGAATACTCCAAATGCCTTGCGAAGGACTTCTGGATCGATTCCGGATCGTTGGGCTCATAGGTATCCTCAGCATCCCGGCGCCGAGGCGTGGACGGGGAGCGCGGTTCATAGAAAAAACTCGGCACAAGGTGTGGCTTGCCCCGCCCCTCCCAGATCCCAAAAAAAACTGTAACCGTCCTAGGTTGGGACTTTGAATGGATGCCAAGTGTGCTTCCCTGAAATGAACAGCATGGAAGTGTCACCTCTTTGTTGTTTTGCTCTTTCGGCCGTCTTCATCGCTAGTGACGACCCGCCGGGTGGACCCCGAGAAGCACTTTCCACGGATGGGGCTTGCGCGGCCCGAAGCCGCTCGCGGTCGGAAGAGGAAGCATGGGGACCCTTTCCGGGAGCGATTCTGATCATCAAAATGGTTAGAGCAATGGCTTTGTATGTGTAAAACCCATTAAAACCCTTCGTAAAAGCGGCTGTTTGGGATGTTTCGGCCCAAAAACGATGCCCGTTGGATGGTGGGGCCAATCTCAGCTTGGGACTGGCGACTGGGACGGCAGGGAACCATTCGGTCTATCTTCATGACCCTTCGAGGTTCGTCTCTTCTTTTCTAACCCGTTCTGGATCTATCATTGGGTTCACACGCGTGTGCTATGAAAAGCTCGTAAAAGCTCTGGATCGCCTCAAGTGCCCTAATCCTGCACTGAGACGTTGGCATGCGAAAGGCCACTGAGTATGGCGATGTCTTCCTTATTTTGGTTGGAAAAGGCCATTCAGAATCAAAGATCCTTCCAACTTCATCATGAACCATGTCGGTCCCGGTCATGTCGGTCCCGGCTGCATCAACTCCGTGGAACTAAACTGCGCAAGCAGAGTTGCTGGGTGTGCCTCTGGCTCTACAAGTCTTCTTTCCCCAGACCCAGTTCCCATCACGTCATCGCCAGGTTGAAAAGGAACTCCTTCATCCAAACTCGAACAGGATTGCTCTGTAAGCAGCACCGAACCAGGGTGCTTCACCTCCCGGTCCACTGTCTGTCCTACCGCTTCACTTGTCCGAACAGACCGCTACCGCTACTCGCCTGGCACCTCACCCCCTAATGGCACCTGCCTGCGGCACCGCACCAAACCGAACTGCCTGGTTTAACCACGTCCAACCCTCTTCCGCACCAAACGCACGCCCCGCGGACGTGAACCGCTTCGTCCGCGGAGCCATGAGCTTCCAAAGCTTCTCCAACTTCACTTTGTCGCCGTCCACCTCCTCCTGCGGCTGGTCGGGGCCCGTCAGTCGGTCTTCTTTGGAGTTGCTGTGGTTGGTGACTTCACATGGGAAAAAGGCGGTGAGGGGTGACCAGTTGCTGTTCTGTCTCACAATCCGCACCAGCGCACAGCCAGTACCAAGGGCACCTACCATCCGTCGAGCTTTGGCTGTGACACCTTCCTCGAGCTTTGGAAGAAACCCCGCACCCACCGCACTCGATCGACCCGGTGCACTTCATCACTCAGTCGTCCGCAGAACCTAAACGCGTCGCGGGTCGTCGCCCCCCAGGGCACCCCCACATCACCAGGCATGGGCCGCTTAATCTGGTCCAGCAGGGAGAAGGAGGACTTTCTCTTCATGTCCTCAGATCATCTCAGGTGTCAGATCATCACTTCTGATTCCCCCCCCCCATCGTTTTCGGAGAAGAACGCGCCAACGAGAACGTGCTGGGAAGAACGGAAGAACACCCCCAGCGGTTCAATGGAACTGAAGGACACGGGACCCGGACTCAAAAAAAAGGCGGGCTTTGGCTTTTTGGGGGCTCTTCGTCCAGCTGAGTAATGTAGACTCTTGATTGTATTTCCACCCCTCAAGAGTCTATCTACATCAAAAATTAGTGTTATAAAGTTGGAAGAATTGATCAACGCCTTTCTGGCGGCCAGCAATTTACGGATCTGGAGACAGTGCCAGTGGCCGTTTGACTTCCTTTCTTTCTTGGGGGGTCAACTCGGAACTAGTAGGTTGGAGGCCATCGCTAGTAGTAACAAAAAGCTACTAAGGGGCTCCTGGCATCGCTACTTGGAGCAAGGACGCTACTAGGGGCTCCTGGCCGTACTACTAGGAACAAGAAGCTACTAGGTTGGAAACCATCGCTAGTAGATGCTGTCCTTTCTTTTTGGGGGGGCGCCGACTCGGAACTGGCGGGTTCTCCCCGGGACGTGACTCTATGTAGGACGTGACGACCGTTTCAGCTGGGGCCATGCCAAGCTCTGCAGAAGGAGCTGGAGCCCTTTGGAGTGAAGTCCACCAAACCAGGGGCCCTGCTGAATGGAGAACATTCCAAAGGTGAATGGGAAAGGGATGACTTTGTATATAAAGGAATTGAACAATGCGAGTGCAATGTGAGTCTCTTTCCCAGGTTCTATTCTGTTTTGCTGGCCAAATTTATGTAGTTAGAAAAGGCTTGCGACATTTACACGGCTGAAACACCATTTCAACTTGGCTTAGAAAAGGCAATTCTCACCTGTCAGTATGCATTGCCAAGATTCTTCACCTGTCCAATCGGCCCATTTCTCTTGCTCGACGATCTTGCTCGACCCATTCTTCGAGGAAGTTCCTTTCTTTACGAAAGGGTCACCATCATCAGACCCATTCAGCCCCTTCTTTTCATGTGTCCTTCAGAACTTCACTCCATTTTCACTCCCGAACCGAAAGGCTTTCGGCACCGGGTGGCGTCTGCAGGTGCGCAGGTGCGGCCAGGTTGGGTCGAAAGCGCACCCGGACCGTGCGACGCCGGGTGGTCCGGACCTTTCGACCCGGACCCTGGAGTCGAGAGGAGCGAAGAAAAGGCTGTTCAACCCTGTAGGGATTTGATCCGATTCTCCAGGGACCCAACAGGTCCTTCGTCTCTGTCAAGCTTGTTGACCAGTCCAGTGTTTTAACAGGCTCCATCCACACCCTCCTACACACACCGCCCATAATCAAGCACCCCAAATCACACCATCGCCAAGGCGGCGATGCCATGTTGCTTCGGATCCCACACACCGGCGGTCGTCATGGGTCTCCTGAATCGGCCCGAGCCGAGTCGCCGGATGGGTCGGCGGGCGCCCAACGGAACGAAGCTCCGTGGCTCTTCGTTGGTTCCACGTTCAAAGGATCCAGTGGAGCAGCAGCTCTCCGTCATCTCAGAGTGGTCCCTACACATTTCGCCTTTTTTGGTTGGAGCCCATCGCGGCCATCGGTTGGAGCCCATTGCGGCCATAGGTTGGAGGCCATTGCGGCCATAGGTTGGAGGCCATTGCGGCCATAGGTTGGAGGCCATTGCGGCCATAGGTTGGAGGCCATCTTCTTCTCTCGCCAGTCAACCCCGCTTCCAAAGCCCCTTCTGTTTCACCCCCTCCTTCCCTCTTCCCTCCTGACGCTGCTTGGATGATCAGACGCCCACCGGTCGGACGCGTTTGGGTGACAAAAATGGCTGCCGAACCCGGCGAGGTCGACCTGGAGATGGTCGACGCAACCAAGAGAAGGGCTCTGACGGTCCGAACTGGTCCGAGTGGCTGAAGGTTCCAAAAAAAAGGAAACGTTCCAACCACCCTGCAGGCACATGTCGGGCTGGGCTGCGATCCATGGAGGTAGGAGTTGGTGCCCAGAACATCCACTCACTGGATGGGACTGAACACCACCCCGAGCTCTGTGACTCCTGGCTTCTCTAAGTGCTTTCGATTCGACGATCTCCCAGCAGACGTCACGGACGTCTCCCGAAAGGTCCGTGACCCACCCGTCGAAACCGGACGAACGGACCCCGCAACGCCCGCAGAGCCTCCGATCGGATGGTCGAAACCCCCGCGAGGCGGAGGGGTCGGTGGGTCTACCGAAACCGAAAGCCGCAGGTGGAGAAAGAAAAGAAACACCTGTCAGACAGGTTCTGCCCTGAAGAACGTCCTAATTCGTGGAAAGACCAACCCGCATCCCAACAAACATACAGGCGGCGCCTCTTTTCGCGGGTTTGGCCAGTTCACAGCATGATCCGGCATGGTTTGGAAGAATATCCCCCTCACTCCCCCTCACTTCTATGGCCAAACAAAAACGTGAACCTGTCCATCTCGGAGCAGAAAGCAAGTCCCGACTCCACCGAGGTTGTCTCTCTGCAGATTCCCCCCAAGAAGCCATGGTGCTACCGCAAGCAAGAAGCCCTGGTCCAAAGGTGGATTCATGTGTCTTTGATGTCTGGTGAGAAGCAACAAGGGTTGACTTGTCCATACCTCATAGATCCTCATAGCCCTACTCTGCTTCATCATTCGCATCGGATCACATGCCGCGAAGGCTCCGATGATCCGCCTTGTCCCGATGGTGGCTGTGTCTGGCTCGACTTACAAACCAGGCCCCATCTGTCAGCTTCGAACCTGAAAAAAATGAAAAGCTCTCCGGAATCCTCCACAGCCCAAAGCCTCGTTACAAGAAAAGGGGTCTGGCAGTTGGCACCAATCGCGCGATCCCTTTTTCGCCAACACCACCGTCCTCTTCCTTTCGTCCCATCCCTGGGGGCCGGTTGGATTTCAGGCTGGACTGGCATCCATCGGTCAAGAGTATCCAGAAAGAAAAGGATTTCAAGCTGGCGCCATATTGGAACAACCAGAACAGTTTCTGCTTGGGACCGGGGTTCCAGGATTGCACCACACCACACCCCCAAAACCCCTGCATTCCCTGCCTGTCGACTAGTGCTTGGACTCGGGCGAGTTGAGCGGACATGCGCGCATGGCGAGTCCTGCGCCTGGTCTGGACTCCAAAGCACGGCGGTTGAGCGGACATGTCTGAACCCCAGGGTCACCGAAGCACTAGCGTCACCAAACGCTACGTGGTTCCACGTGAGCTACACGGTGAGAGCTACCAAGTTGAGGAATGATCAAGAAGAAGATTTCAAGTCTTGGTCCTGGCCACTAACAGTCACTAACACAACCCGGCAGTTCCTCAAACAGGAAGGTTCTCAGATTTGTCCAGGGAAAAAATGTCAGCTTTTGAAGATACCATAATATTGAAAGTAAGGTGTGTGTATATATATATATGTAGGTATGTGTATATATATACATACAGCGCATACAGTATTAATCTTTCAGTTTTCTACCATACATATCATCCACATTGAAGTGACCCTTGTAGATACTACCTGCTCTCTGCTGGCTTCACAAATCCAGTGGCTAACTGATCTGCTTCTGTTTCCACAAAACACGGGGCCATGTGAGGGATTGTCAAATCTTTTACTCTTCCATGCCACGGGGCTCAAAAGAAAGGTTCTGGGTGGGCCTATCTATCATGTCTATCATCTTTGATCACCCCACTGTAAATGCCTGAAACTTGGCTGGGACGGATTCGGAGTCAGTCCACCCGAACTGGTTTACCCTAAAATACCATGAGAAAAACCTAATTATCACGCTCTAGATGCATGGTTTTTCGTGGTCGAAACTTCTGGTTAGCATCGTGTTCATCGGGTGCCGCCGGTACTGACGGACTGCTTCAAGCTGCTCACCGCAGAAACCAAGTCGAGTCTACGGTTAGTTTGATCACCACCTTTCGCCACCTGTCGGTGCCGCCAAAAGCGTCAAGTCGTCCCAAGAAATCATCGCTTCAAACAAACGCCTCCCAAAACGGCCAAATCATCGCTAAAGGCCTACCTTCTTTCTAGCCATGGAAACCTTGTTGATCAAAACTGGACTCTTTTTCATGATCTTTCAACCTCTGGAAGTCCCCGTGGATTTACATGGATCATTCGTGAAAGCTCGGCCAGAAGGCTTCTGCTTCGGCTCGGTTTTGCTGGGGGTTGAAATAGCTTGTGGCCTATCCTCGGGATCGATCCACTCTACTTCACTCCACTCGACTGCCCTCCTCGCCAGTTTTTGTTCAGATTCACCGAACCCAAATCACGCGTCGAAGATTCCGCGCTTTTCGGAAGCGACGGCCTCGAAGAATCCTGCCAGCACTGGAAGACCTTCTGCCTGAGAACCAGGGCCGTGCCGTGGCATTTGGGGCATAGAGCGGACCAAAATCGGCCAGAAGCGGTTTCCTGGCACCCTTTCTTCGAAAATGTCATTTTCCACACCTACATCAGTTCTCCCAGTTTCTTTTGGGTGTTCACTTCGCCTGCAAAGTTGGTTTCTGTGGAGACCTTAGATGCTTGCAGCCGTTCGGTTGTTCCTGCCAAAACACCAAACAAAAAAAACGAAAAGACACACGCCATTTCAAGTTTGCTCTACTTGCAAGACTTGCAGTTGGCCCTGCAAAATAGAAAAAGAGACGAAGCTAGCCGTGTTTGCACTCCAGTGTCTCCCATGTTTGCGACTTGCTCGACCCGCTACAATAAAGAAACAGCGACATAGGATTTCCTTGGCAAACAATGCAAACTACACATACAAGCTTCTCGGTTTATGTATAGCAACATGGCACATGCGCATGGTTTTTACTAGGCGATATGAGTCAACACCCTGGTTTGGGAAAAGAGTGCTAAGAACAGTGTTCAGTTCTTTTCTGCTTTCTTGTCTCAAGTGGTGGTGTTCCTGCTTTGGGCCATGTGTAGCCTTCTCCTTGAACTGAATATATGGATCTTTTAAAACATGTATGTCCCAAACTCTTGCCGAACAAAATCCTGCACGACCTTCACATCCCCCCCGGATAACATGTCTTTTTCTACGGACTGTTTCAATGAGAATGCATGAGTTGAATTCGTGTGAGGTAGAAATTTACGGAGAGCAGGCAAATGACGTGCGTTTTGATTTTGCTCGGAGGGGCCACTTGCGGCCACTTGAGCGGCCACTGGAAGCCGCTTGCGGTCACTTGCGGCCACTCCAGCGACTGTAAGTGGCCACACACATTGACGGACATGTGTCTTGCACGGAAAATGCCGGATGATTTGCTTTGCGTGGTGGTGGTGGTGGTGCGTAGTCTAGCTTTGATTCGGGCCCCATGAACCCTTGCCTAGGAGAATTCAAACCCTTTTCCACCGGTTTTGGAGAATTCAGTTCCCAAGAAAGGGGTGGGGACGTGGTTCACTAACTGGGTTACTTTCTCAATCAAAGCGCGACTCACTGGCCACTTGGGTTGCACTGGTTTTCGACTGCGAAAAAATGCCGATGTTGAACTGCTCCGTGTGGAAACCATCGGACATGGTTCACACATGCTCGGTGCGCACTCAGCCACATGCTCGGCCACATTGCGCCAGCAAGTGGCTGCAAGTGCTGATCGAAAATCAAAACCACGCACTGTGCGACCCTCAACGGAGAAGTTTTAGCAGACCGAGTGCTTCAATCCCCACACGGTCTGCACCGTTTCGCGACTGGGCGGACTTCCGGTTAGGTCACGACTGGGGCAGAGAACTGCAGCTCCCGGGAACCGGTTTTTAAAGAGAAAGATCTTCGAAGGTTAGGGGATTCAGCCAGTTTCAGGAAAATATACATCATCCCAACCATACATACCCAACCATATACAGTAGGTTAGGTTGTACCCAGTACATCATCCCAAGCGAAAACTGGGTTTGGAATGGTAGGGGCCTTGAGTGATGCCTGCTGATGAACAAAGGCGATGACAAAAAAAGAACCGTCATGTGGAGCACGTACACTTTGACCCAAGAGCGAAAGGCTGAGCGTTTTTCGGAGGCCATCGCTTAGCAGGTTGGAGGATGGGATCATCACCTTGATCATCACTTTAGTTGGCCGGCCCAGGGATTGTCCTCCCCAAGTTTGAGAGACCAAAGAATGCGGGCACAACCTTCGGGTTGAGTCTTCGATAGTCTTTGGGGGCTTTCCATGCCAAGAAGTCATAAGAACAAGCAAGTAGCACAAGTGAAAAGGACGTGATGTTGCGATCTTGATCTCCATCAAGTTCATAGGACCCCACAATCTTACACCAAACCCTCCAGTCTGGTGTGACTCATCTTGCCTGCCTTGTTCTCACCGTTCCATACGAACACAAAACCAATGTCCCGGGAGCGCCTGATCTGCTCTCTGGGCACCTCCAGTAGGAGCTCCGCCACGCGGTGGCCCCGGCGTGCCTTAATGGGAATCCACTGGGATGCGAAGTGGAACGTGTTTCTTCAACTGAAGTCTCTGATGGTCTTCAACTCATCAAGCAAGTCTCTGAGGTTTCTTATGCTTGGGCTCTGGTTATAAGTCTCTGATTTTCTTCAACTCACCAACATGAAGAAACTTGTTTGAAGTGTTAAGCTTAGAAACTTAGAAGCATCCAGTATGTCACATGTCAAGGATCTAACAGTTTCCCATTGTTCTGATTTCTAGTGTTTTTGGTCTCAAACTTGAATCACCACGCAGTTGTCTACCAAGAAGAATCGCTCAAATTCCATGCATGGCACCAAAGAGCTTCGCTGATCCCAGTGGGTCCAGACTCTCTTTTGCTCCGCAACACCAAAGCGACTCAGAGCGTCCTTTCACCCGAGTGCCACCCAGCAGCAAGTCTGCCGCGTGCCTCCTGCAGCCTGAAGATGGCGGCCCCCTTTTGGGGATGAAGGGTGCCAAAGAGGACGGCTCGGTGTATAAAACCCGGCCGCAGTTGAACATGTTCTTCGACTGTTGTTGTGATAGGTTGTGATATGTTGTGATCATCGACACTGTTTCACCTCGTGCTTGTCGATGATCCACCTGACAGCTCCGGCTCGGTGTCACCCAGTCACCACCACATACTCACCACGGAGCGACCGGAGCCGTACGACGTGCACCGAGGACCGTTTCAACGAAGACCACGGGAGCTGTCCCCAACTCTTCTATGACCTGCGACACCGGCAACCGTGAAAAGGTGTGAGCATGGTGTTTACCGTGTTGGACGGAAGTTGACCTCCAAAATCGATGCACCAAACTCGATTGCAAAAGGATTGATTGGGGTAGTACTCTGCAAAAAGCGACCCAGCTAGGATGAAAACCTTGAAAAAGCCGGCCTGTATAGGATGCAAGTCTTGCCATGGCCGGGCCTATGTCTGGCACTATGATGCGTCACCCAAAACGTGGGCATGTGAGAAGGGGTGACCTCTTGACCGACCAAGCGGAGGATGATAAGAACCGTTGGAATTCAGGAGGTTTGGAACCTTCAAACGGTGAACAAATCTTGCCCAGTCGCTCGCTCGATGGGGCCCCGGCCTCTGAGGGTCACCAGGGGATGCTGAGGCTTGTCGCTGATATGACACAAATGCACAAGCGACACCAGGCAAAAAAACCGTCCAAAGTTAGCACAGAGCACCTCTCTCGGGATTGCTTCATGTTGGGAGCACCTACCCCGCCCAATCAGAAATAGGAATGTCTTGTTGCACACGAGTGCGTCCACAATTCCCAAGTGATACAAGGTCGCCTGATCCATATCCGTGTCCCCATTCCTCACCAATCATATACATATATATATATATTGATGCATATGTGCATATATATATATACAGTGTATATATATATATACCGTGTGTGTGTATATATATATATACAGTATATGATTCCCAGTTCCAAGTGCCAATTATTGCAAAACCAAAACAACTTGGAGTCCTGCAGGGCTTCCTTTCCTGGCTTGGGTTCCCAGGTGAATGTATATTTGAAGGACTGCATCAGAGTTTCTCCGTCGGAGTTCTCTCCTCGACCCGGCCTCTGGCACTTGACTTTGAAGTGCTCCTCGGTGCCTAAGCAAACTTGGCTAGGCCAAGGAAGCTTTTGTGAACCATGGTAGCAAGTTTCTGTGACTCTGGCGCATGTCAGTCCTGTCACACTGCAGCAGCTCCGATTCAAACAAGCCATACTACACCAACAATGCTGAAGAACATCCTTCTCTTCCCACCAAACATACCAACGAGGGAATATCTGCAAAGCCTAAAGCCTAGAGCCTAGCCAGTCACGCTCTCCAAAAGGCCTTGTAGGCACATCGCCAGCCTTGCCTGCTTTTGCTGGCTTGGTGTTTGCATCTTGCTGTATCCGAATGGCGGAGGTTTTCACTTCCATGTTTGTTGGGGGGAGGGTAGGACAGGAATGCACACATGAATAAAATCCAAAACCCCCGCAAAATCGTGTCCAGATTGATCCCCCCTACGGCCGATAGCTTGAAGAATACCCAAGAGAAAGTCGTCTGGACGAAATCCAGCCTACATGAGTCAAGCTGAGCATCCAGCCTACAGGATCTCCCATCCCATGCCCCACTTCCTCAGCTCCACACGCGCTTGTCGTGCTTGTAGAGCCACCCGTGCCCAGTGTGCCTCAGGCTCAGATGCGAGACGCGGACGGATCGCACCACCGAGACCCCGCGCCGACGCGGCGGCCCCTACTGGGCCCCTACAGGATCGGTCACAGGGAGGAATCGACGTAAGTGAGCCCTGTAATCGACGCAAGTGGTTCCATGGTACCAAGGGCATCTGGATGGACACATCTTCGTCATGACGAATCTCTCATGTGTGTTCCTTTTGGTCCCAGATCAAGCGGGAACTTTGGTCCAACTCCCCCTATCGCATCGACATGGCTCGTTCAACAAGAAACACGCAACAAAACGGAAAAAAATAACCCTTCACCCCCTAAACCCTAAACCCTAAACATTGTCATACGACCGACCTGGAATCGCTGGAGATGGCACCTTCATGGCATCTTAAATTCCCTTCACCTCAGCTGCCTCCCGCAGCTCTTCTTCGTCTGAGCGCTCCGACAAAGCAAACTGCGCCAAGAAGACCATCTTTGGCCATGGGGATCCAGCCATGACACCCTCCCCCAATCTGCTTGTCGAACATGGAAATGTTCTTGAACGAAACCCATGGACGTCAGTCTAGAGGCATCTCAGTAGAAAGGACCTTTGTAATTTGAGGCAAAATCAAACAAGAAGCTAAGGTGCTCAACCTCCTCACGAAGAAGTCCCATGTCAAACGAGTGGTTCGACTGGCAGTTGTTTTGAATTCTGATGTGGTGGTTTTGTTCGCAAAAAACATGTGTCAAGATTCGCTAGCCGCTAAAATGTCTGGCACAATTTTTTTGTGACGAAAAACACATTGTCTATCATATGTGTCGTTTAAATGGTCGGACTGTAGCCAAGCTACTGGCGTGGAGGGTATGTAATGCACACAACGAAATGGGTCGAGCTGCAACCCAGAAGTCGTCGACTCAAGTTTTTTGCAAATCTGCCGCAAGCTGAGTGGCCAACGGGCCCGTACACGCCACCAGGCGAAGAAGCAACCATCAACATGGGACCAGTCCGGTGATTTGAACCATCAAGAGAAGCAAATTTTTGGCGAATTGCAAACCGAATCGTCAGCTGCTTCGTATTTTCTAGGGCGGAGGGCGCTTTGAGGTTTAAATGAGTTCTTCATAGAAGCGATTTGATTTACGGTGTCACATGGACTGAAAAAATCATGGACAACGAGCCTGGAAAGTGTTTAGAGAAAGAAGATTGGGACATACACACACTTGATCCTTTTTGTTCGATGGACCTGGCACACACACACACACACACAACGACTTGTGGGACATACAGAATGACTTGCGTAGCAGTGGTGTGCATCAAAGAGGCAAATGGACCTTCCTTTTCCGTCATTGCATTGCGAAGCCAATCATGCAAAATGGTGCGAAATCACGCATTGAGTTCTTTTGCTTTATAAGCGCCATGATGTTCAGCAAAACACCCCCAGATCAGCAGTTGCACAAAACTGGAACGTGAGTGTACGGATGCACCCACAAATATGCGGGGATCAAAAGCGTGAAATTTGAGGCACAGACTGCTTGGAACAAAGGAAGCACTCTCAGACTTGTCGGGGCCACAAAGCACAGAAAAAAGGACCAAACAAACAATTTCCAAGGAAGTGGCTCTTGAAATTTTGCGCAACAAACCCCAAACTTAAGGTCACATCACAACCGGATCACAACGTCTGCTCCACTGGCGGCCCCAAAAACGAATAAAAACGCTGCAGGGTCTGGAGTCGCCACAGACCTCCCCAGTCTCGTTGAACTGGAAAATATTGCACGTATCGACGCTGAAATTGCAAAGTTTCACGCTCCGCGGATGTCATCTCGCCTGGAATCGCTCGGGTCGACCGTGCGTGTGCAACATTTTTTGACCCAAAAAACCGCAAAACAGCAGAGCGAAAATGATGTTCACTTTAGCCAACTGGAAGACGCTCGCTGTCGCATTTTTTAAAAACATCGACCAAGCTATTTCAGGCACGAGTGAAATTGCGATCCACGGGAACGTCATGGAGCTTGCAACAAACAAGAAAAACATTGGTCCAAAACCTCAACAACACACATTGAACAATGGTGTCCAATGAAATGAGACAGGTTCGGGGACTAATGTTAGGCAGCAACTTCCTTTTGAACCCGAGCGCTATGGCGGTTGTACTGATATGAACAGATTCCAATGACATCAACTGCACACTAAACAACATCTCATCTATGTACCTGTACGTGTATCTACAAAAGGTTAACACCCCGCCTTGGAGTGTGATGAAGTGAATCGACACTCCACCTTTTCTTTGTACACTTCTCGATTTGTAGAATCCACCGTCTGCTAGGTGGAACTGAAAAAGGTTTTCTACAAATCTATTCGGCTAGTTTCTATAGCCACCGTTCCGGTGTATCTATTTCCACACCATTCCAAGCACAAAACTGCCAATTTGACTTTTGTATGCGTGGTTCAGATGGTTTCAACCATGAAAACTTTGCTCAATGCATTTGTTGTAGTGCGACTATACCGTGGTTCAGCTGGTACACGGTATTCAACTCTGAACGCCTGTGGTTCAGACGGTTTCACAGGTCATCCAAAACAAAAGAAATGTATTGTAAATTCCATCACAAATCAATTGTTGTCGTCTTCACCAATCGAACTGCTTGCTTCATCTTCGCTACTGAAATGATGCAACTCCTGCCAATATTAGGATCACTAACCTCTTCAATGCCTGAATAAATGTATCTCAATCGACTCTGCTAGCCTATCTTCAACTTCTTCATCTTCAGCTTCATTTGCTGCTTCGTCGTTTTGGTTTTGCTCTGTTGTAGACATAGGAAGATTTCTCCCTGGAACATTTGCTTCAGAGAAATATCCATCTGCCTCATCAAGCTCTTCTCTACATTGTGAATCTGCTACTGTGCCTGTCAAAACGCTCGATGTTGCTGCTTCTCCAACATAATAGTGTGTCGCAATGCCCTCGTTCTCTGGTTCTTCTTCCTCTTCAATTTCTGGTCCTGCTGATGAACCTGAATCTGGTCAAAGGTCTGTCATTCCACGACACATCATATGGGTTCTTCTCCCCACACCTTCACTATGGTTTTGTTCCAAAATTCCCAGTTGCATGTCCAAAATGATTGTACCGTCTCAGTGTATTGTGGTCCATTTGTAGCCCACGACGTTCCATACGTCTATTCACTCTTCCAAACATGTCATTTTCATTTCGCAACCGTTTGTAGGCTATTGCCTATGGCGTGAGAGCGGTCTGTAGACAAAAGCTCAATTAGAGCACATGGCATCTCAGATCAAACGCCGCATTTCGCGGAGTGACAGCGAGGCCACAGCTACCGGCAACCCTCCCTTCCAAATAATCGGTAAGGGAACCAGGTGCCCCGCATGCAATTGGTCACCACTGGTGGCTGGACCCAAATATGCTGCTCTCAGAGGCTGCAGATCATGTAACTCACGAAGTCGATGTACATGTACTGCATGGTCAGCGCACATAGCAGCAAAGGCCCCATTGCCCATCGGGCCACGGTGTGGCGCCACCAGCGAAGATCATCACCCTTTAGACCACCCTGCATGCACCAAAGGAAAACAGCACCCAACCATTCTCCTTGTGGGAACTCCTGCCAAGTGCATCTCATGGCCTCAAGGGAAAGGCGCTCCTCACATTGTTGCTCAAAGGCCGCAAAGAGGGCCAGCCGAGAGTCGTCCTCAATCTGAAAAGAGACACCAGCCTGCAACAATTGTGCCCGGAGCCGCATGAATGAAGGTCCTGATCACAAGCTCCCAGAACCTGCGGCCCTGCAAGCTTAATAGCATCTCGTCGAGTGGCTCCCGGTAATGCAGCAAAATTGTCTGGAGGCAAGTCATCTCGACCAGCCTCCAGAGATGCATACATACGGACCCATGCTCCACAACGGTTTGGACCTCCCTGTCTGGACACATAGCGTAGGTGTAGTTGGAGCCTGTTCACCATCCAGAAATGACGCAAGCAAACTGGGCACGTTGCTCCATGAACCCTACCGTGTTCTGCATTGCGCCAATCATGTCTTTGAATGTGGTGGAGCCTCAACGCTCGCTTGTTGTGGAAGCCCACACCACATTCACAACGACATTGCACTTGGTGAAGAAGATCAAGAAGTGTATCCTCCTCTCCACCTCTCTCACACGCTCGACCATGGAGTCTTGGCAAGAGCATAACATGCTTGATGCCCGCCTGCTTCACCAAACGCTTCCAACCGGGGCGCCCTTGACGCCAATGCGGATGAAGTTCAGCAAAGGTGGTGCCCCAGTCACTCATATCCATGGCAGAAGCAAGCCATTTCAAGTCCTCTGCAAGACCAGCCCTCCATCCATCAGACAACTCGTCAAATTCCTTTTGGAGCTCGTCACAGATGAACTGAGGCCCATGCTGGATCAGCCTGGCCGCCAACAACAAACGCTGTTGAGCTAGTCGGACCCGCACTGGAGCACATTGAGCCTGAACGAGGATCTCCACATGTGTCAGGACCTGATTGCCTTCGAACTTGTTCTGTCTAAGTGTGCGTCGGAGCATGGTGCCCTGACACACTTGCAAGCGCCGCATGTCTTGCGCCCGCAAAAGAGGCCAGGAACCACACCCATAGTACAACTTGGTGAAGATCAAAGCCTCCAACAAAAAGAGACGGGTGGTGTCTTTCAAAGCAGGGTTGAGAAATATCTGCCGCGCCATGGAGCGAAAAGCGGACCAAGCCTGTCCAACCCGCCTGTGGATCTCTTGCCCAAGAAGTCCTCCGGCTGAGAGTGTCGTCCCCAGGCGCTTGTACTGAGCACCGAGCACCAAGGTTCGTGGGCCAGAACCAAGACTACAAGTGTCAAGCTCCAGTCGTGGTTGCATCCGTAGATGTTCACGCGCTTGCTTAGCCCCAAGGCCTGCAGGAGTCATCAAGGCCTCACTTTTACCCTTGGCCATATTCAAGGTCATGCCCCGCTGCCTGAAAGCCTGCCCAATCTCAGAGAAGATCTGTCCAACCTCTACCAGAAGGTCGGCATTGGAGGCCGCCAGCACTGGCACCGCAAGATCATCAGCCCAAACAATGGAAGCCGCAAGAGCGCCGCAACGTGTTCTCATCATGCATTGTTGGGGACGTGCACTGATGGCACACTCCAGCTCGTTCACAATCGGCCCCATGAGGCAATGGAACATAGCGTCAGCCAGCGGGCTACCCGGCCTGGTAGTGCGAACTGCTTCACCATGGAGAGTAGCCCAAGTGCGACTATGGATCTCTCTCAGTAGTCTGGTTACCATTGTATCTGGCAACAAGCTTGTAGTCTGCAGGAGCGCTTGGACATCCTCAATCGTGAAAGCTTCTCGTTGCAGAGTCTCCGCCAGAATTCGCTGGTCCGTATGGTTTCCAGAAGAGGAACCAAGGATGAGCTCACGAACCACTGAGTGAAAGGCAGCTCTGAGGTCCACGAAAATCACAGCGGCAGCCGCTCCCAGGTGATAGGCTCTCCGCATGAAGGTTTGGATGTATAGACTCCCAAAAGCACATTGCGCAAACCCTCCAAGTTGTCCTGGTGGTTGGGCTCGTGCAGCCCATTGGTCGAAAAAGAGCATGAACACGACGGACCAGAACCCCTGGGAGCATGATGCCTCGGTATTGCTCAGCCGAAGTAGGAAAACGCCTGAAGGATCCCGCCCTTCCATGGGATGGGTTCTTGGGTCGTGAGGATCATCTTGAGAATCAGATCGAAGACCCATGGTGCCAAAGAATCAGCACCTGCATGAATCCATTCAGAAGGCAGCCCCTCAGGCCCAGCCGCTTTCCCCGGCCGTGTGGCCCGCAATGAGTTTTTAACCTGAACCAGGGGAGGAATCTCTTCTAAGGCACACATCTGCATGCTGGCCTCAAATGGAGGATCATCACTGAGTAGCTCCTGGTATAGAGTTTCCAAGCGCACAGAAGCTCCAGCCTCAAGCCGTTCTAAATGAGGCCTCCACTGATCCCTAAGTTCTTCATGCTGAACTGCCGGGCGAGCATGCTGACGTGTCTTGTGGCGCGGAAGACGCCTCTTCACCAGGGTCCAAAGCTCTTTGGTTTTCCCAGGTTGATCACAATTGTGCCATTCATCCTTCAAGGCGTCAAAGAACACCTGTGTGTCGTAGCGCTGCAAAGCTGTCGCACTGTTTCGCACCCGACGAAAGGTCAAGAACAAAGACACCCAAGTGCATGCCAGATGTCTATCCTCCTGACCCATGTCTGTCAACATCTGCCCCATCTCAGTTTCATTGGTTCTCCAAGCAGCAAAACAAGCCCGCAGAAGCAATAGCCGTCTCCCGTATTCTAATCGAAGGAGACGACCGCGTAGATGGGCTTTGTGCAGAATAGCCCTGCGAGTCACTGCCGAGAAATGAAGTTTTCGGTGAAAGGGCAATCTTTTGGGAACCACTGCATGAACCCCAGAAGAAAAGCGCTTCGTGAGCTCGTGAGCATGCTGGTGCACATCCATTGCCCAATCGATTGGCGGCATGTGGCTGACCCTTGCCATTTGCTCCTGCGCCACTGCAGCTTCTCCCAAATGCTGAAGAGACACCGGCCGTTGCACATGCTGACAAGCATCACGACCTTCCAAATGGCATTGGAACTCCAAACATACAGCATGATGATCGTGAAGATGTCCATGCGCAGGCTGGAGGTCAGTCCATGAAAAGAACCACCGCACAGGCACAGCAATGTAATCTATCCGGCTCTGCCCCCCATTAGGATGCGTCCACGTGAAGCCCGGCCCAGTGTGGAAGGCATCGAAGGTCGCCGGCGCCCACAAGCGCCAAGTTTGGAGAAATTCATGAAAACATGCTCCATTCGGATTTTCCTCCTCAGCATTGCATCCTTGCACTGCCTCGGAAGTCCGAGAGCCCAGCCGCCCATTTGCATCTGCAAACACCAGCATGTCATTCGATTTGAGATATGCAGGAATGGAAGTGGCAATGGAACCCCAAAAGGCCTCTACTTCAGCAAAAGGGCGTCCTGTGTGAGGTGCATGTGCCACAACCATCAGAACATCAAGAGAACCGTACCAAACTCTGACAATCAGCAACTCATGGGTGCTCGCAACAACAGAAATGTGCTTCTCCGCAAGCGCCTCCTTTGGTCCATGTTCACCATCGATGCGCAGAAGTCGCCGATGCAAGGCTAGCAAGACACCACCTTTGCCTTTCAGACTAGGGTGCGCCACGACGATGTAGTCCGAGTGCCCCAGACGAGTCCTCTTCAATCTTGTCTCCTGCAAGGCCACCACCGCAATGTCCTTGCCATGGCATTGATCCAAGAACCCCACAGCTGCCGCCAAAGAAGAGACATACTTTTTGGAAAGGGTGAAGACATTGCATGAGACGGTCTTCAACTGCAGGCATAACGAGGACTTCGGTGTGGTTGAAGCTTGCCAGGCACGCAGCTCTCGCAACACTTGCTCATCTGCTTCTGGCTGAGGCTGAGGCGGCTGCAAGCGGCCTGCATGCCAGTACTCTCGTAGATCAGGTCGAGCTAAGATCCAAAACCATTGTACTCTCCGAACAGAAGCCTTGCCAAAACGATTCTTGAACCCCAGGATGTAGAGCAGCAAACTTGGCCAAAGAATCTGCTGCCTCGTTACCAGGATCACCCCGGTGTCCATAAGTGTGCATTGCCTCAAAGTCAATGGAGTGCCCATGCTTCAGAAGATTATGGAGCCTTCTCGCTTTCATAGCCAAAGGATCACGTGCTTGATACCACCCCAGAGCCGTGCCAGCAGCAGACGTAGAGTCATAATGGCATACAACTCGAGGGACATGGAGCCACCGTCTGCCGTGTGTCCTCCACAGATCATGCACCCATTTCATCATCAGCATGTGTGCAACCACCTCCGCTTCATACGCATTCCGGCCATCATCTAACTTGTGCATGAGTGCACCAGCCCATTGCCAAGCTTCCGCGTAAACCCAGAGAGTGACCGCCGCTCCTGCATGATGGTCAATTGAGGAACCGTCAAGGTAGAAGTGTAACTCCTGAGGAGGTGCCCCCTCCCACCAAGGCAGCTTCACCCAAGGGTCCGTGCAAGCCTTCCATGAAATGTCATTCGGGAAGAGCGGGATGCAAGCATGGCAATTGAACCAGTCCATGGCCTGAATGACCTCATGACAGTCCACGCCATACTGGTGTTGATGCTCATTACGTTCTCTCTTGTACACCGGGCGGAATTTCATACCAATCAAGTCAGCTAAGGAGATCACCTGCCTGGGTGAGTGTTGCTATTCTTCATGGGTGTCCTCCCTCACCGGAAGAAAGTTCCAGGTGTCTGCAGTCGCTGTTGGCCATTGGATCCACGGAAGGTGTAGAAGCCCCCCACTCAGGTCGTTCCAACCACGGATGACTATCATGGAAGGAGGGGCTACGTAGCAAACGTCCAAAACGATGGCCAAAGTCATTTCCCTTGAGCTCCCGGTCAAGCACCTCCAACAGTCCACTGAAGTGCTCATTTGAGAGGAGTGGATCCTTATAGCTTGTCATATAGCCATCCCCTTCATTGAGCTCTACCACATCATCAAAGCAGACCCGTCTACCATTGCCTGGTGGAGGGAGTCTCACTCTGGCCATTGAAGCAAAGGTGTGAGTTGGTCGTGTGGCCACCTGCCTCCTCACCTGCGTTTGCAGCAAGGACACACTATCTGTGGAAGAAGTCTGGCATGCACTCTCCTCATCATCATTTGTCGCGATGATAGTGTAAGAGCCCCCAAATGCTGCAAAGCGTGGCGCTCGATCCTCCAAGGGTCACAAAGTGTTGCCTTGCAGCACTAAGCAGGTCACTGTAGAGCATTTCTCCGTCACACCAAGATCAGCCGCGAGTTGTGCCCTGGTCTGGTATACTCAGCATGGACCTTAAGAACTCGCCTGGTTTTGGAATGCCGGCCAATGGTATTGGGGACGTTCTCAATGAGTTCCACAAAGATCAGCGCCTGCCCAGGTCTCAGAGTTCCACTAGAGGCGAAGAGGAACGAATGCACCACACGGCTTGGTTCTTTCAGTGGGGGGTAGATCTCCATGACATAAGCATTCTCCATCACATAGCCCGGCAAGGCAAGGCAATCAGGCCCAAGGATGCAGGTGCGTGCAGCGTGCATCCACGTGTTCGTTGCACAAGGGCATTCCTTGACAAGAAGGTTCTCCCCATAAACCTTCAAAGTGTCCACGCCAACTGGGGGGGATCTTGATCTTTCACGTCCACCAAGAATATCAGCAAAAGTGCGGTGTGGACCAAGGGAACGACTTTGCTGCATCAAACTTGGCCCAACAGCTGCCTGAGCACTCGGAGTGAGCGCCTCCAACGGTGCTGAATCTGAAGAACTTGTACCAGCAGGGCACTGTCGTTGCCGCTTCATTTCCCTGATATCCTCAGGATCCAAGACCTTGACCAGGATGTAGTCGCTCTCTTTGACCTCAAAAGCGTCTTGGTGTACAGGTTGTCCATTGCGGTACACTAGAGGAAGATCACTGGCGGCTTCAAGCTGGGCCACATTGAACCATTGCTGGTAGAGGTAGCCCTTAGTCACCATCGTTGGGGTCTGAAGCACCTTCACATGTGGGGCTATGTCCCGCTGAAGACCAACCAACTCCAGCTCCGCAACGATATGCACTAAATCAGCAGTCTCCGATGCCACATAAAAGACCTCGACCAAGTCCCGCAAGAGGTCCGGGGTCCGGTAGGATCGGTGGGTTTGATCCAAATGCCAGTGTGGATGTGCAACCAGGACCGGCCACCTTGTCTTGGCCCAAGACTCCTACCACAGCTGGTAGTGGTACACTTCCAGGTGGACATGCGCAAAGAGCGTGCGCGAATAAATACCTTCCCCAGAAGGCAGAAGGATCACCGCCCTGCCTTCCTTCATGTAGCATTCTTCGAACACATCCGGCGGAAGGCCAGCTGGGGACAAGTTGTATGCCAAGTCCGCCTCAGCAGCACCCGATGCCACTAGGTCAAGGTAAAGTTGCTGCACTTGGCACCAAAGAAAAACCACATGAATGGAATCGCCAGCTCGCAGGTGCATTCTGCCATAGGCAGGTTGCCTGATCCCGTTGACCTGAACGCTCACATCCAAAACGGCCGGGATCTCCACCAGGAAATAGGAAAGGAACTCATTCCGCGTGAGGAGGAGCGGAACGGTGCGAGCTAAGCACAAGCCCAACGCAGCTGAAAGGTCCACTCAATCACCACCTCCGGGTAGGCATTCTGTTCCAGGAGGACTGCTGGCGGGATGATCAACATTATCATGCGCCCGTGGTAGTCGAACATGGAGGGCATGAGTCGGAGCATGATAAAGTCCCACTGCAGGCCTCCCAAGTGCTCCCACCTATGCTCCACCATGTTCACAAACGACTGCCCACGCCAATTTTGAATGACAAAACCATGCGTGGCATCTTGTCCATCCGCCAAAAAAAGGACGACCTGCGCAAGGTGCGCCATATGTGCCACCAAGGCATCGAAATGATCATCCATTTCAGCATGGAAAAGAGCCCGGTCAAACAGCTCTTGGCGCGCTTCCGCCCAACTGCTGCCCGCTGTGTCATGTTGTCCCAAATCAAAAAGAGCCACAACATCGTCGTCAAATGCCTGCTGTAGCCCATGAGCAGGATCCACAGGGTCACAAACTCGTCCAACATCAGCCACATACACATCAATCCTCTGCCATCCCCTCAGTGTAACACGGTCATTATAGAAGGGCGCAACACCTTCCAGGAAACAGGCACATTGCATTCCCGGAGCATGGCACATGGCGAAACCCCTTGCTGCCTCCAAAACCTCCTGACAGGTCACTGGGCTACACGTAGAGACTGGGATGTGTCTTGTTTGCGGCCTATAGGGTGTACCATGGTGAAAAATCACCAGAGAAGGGACACCTCCTCGTCGACCTCGTGCCAGAATCTCAAAGTGATCCTGGAGTCCTTGCATAGCTTGATCAGGTTGTGGAGTCACAGCACCGATCCAGAGTTCAACATGCGGTGCAAAGTCCTCATGAAGAGCAGCTCTGACCTTCAGAATCAGGTTGCTTGAAGTCAGTGCCATAATGTCCCCCCAACTTGTCGTCCAAGTCCGATGTTTGAAGTCAACATGCCTTACCCGTAGGAGTGGTGCGGTTCCCATCATCCACAAAAAGGTCATGGCATCCATGTTAAGACGGTCAAGGCCTCGTACCTCAGTATGGCTCTCCCACAGGCTTTCAATCTCCCCATCAAATCTCCGCGGCAGAGAAGAGCTCCTCAGAATGAAAGGGGGGTGCTCCAATGCATGTGGAACAAGAAGAAGCCTCAGTCCATGAAGGCTCATACTCATGTCCACACTTCAATTGAATGAAGGAGCCTGGCTTAACTACAATGACCTCCCCGTAATTGGCTAATGTAGGAAATAGAACCAAACACTCATCCGTGTCACAATGACAAGGCGGATCCCACAAAGCAAAGAGTTCTGCGGAGTCAATCCAAGCCGAGCCACGCGGCCTGTCCAGAATGACCGTGCTGCAAAATGCTGTCCGGGACACGAACTTGGATCAGGAGTGGGAGGCAATAGGTGTGCTCATCCTGATACAGGATCACATCCCGCAAAGAGGGATGTCCCGGTGGAGGTTCCACAGGTCGCGCAAGATCCTGCTCTCCGCCCAATGGCTGAATGAATGCACGAAATCTACCATTCCCATTGTGAAGTGTTGACCTGACACCTTTCAGTTCGTCACTTCTCACAAAATGCCGAGCAGAAAAAGTTGCCTCCAGACGAAAAAGTCCTAGCTCCAACCCATCATAGAGCACAGACCACCTCAGGGAAAAGCAACCAACTGCATCAACGAGGAATCATCCATTGATCACCCAACTGCTCCATTCTCAAGGGTGCTTCAAAGGATGTGTCAGGGGGACGGGCCAGCAGGAGCCGCACCTGCTCGTTAGGCGCTCTGGTCCCCTAGCATCCTGAGCACACCTCCTCCTGGCATCTGCAAACACCCGGGTCACCACCAACCGGTTTTGACCATCAAGAGGCTGGTCATGTCCATGAACCTGTCCAACACATAGACACAAACACAAAAGCCCGCAAAAACATCTTGATCGTCTGGAGGTAACAAATGACCTCCCCAATGCTCGCGAAAGCATGAAGCCCGAGCCAACGTCAGAACTCAGTCTCGTCGTTGGTCGAGCAAAGTCGCAAGTCTCCTCCCGCAAACCACCAATGGTCAGTGCCTCGCTGGAAAGGATGCCAACTTCGTCCAAGAAAGTCGGCGCCAGACACCCAGACCAAGGAACAGTCCACAAGCAAGCAGTGCATGGCCAGCATGCCACAGGCCATCTGCCGTTCCCCAGACATCATGCCAAAAATGCTGCCCAAGACACCAATTGGAACAGGCGAGACAGAAGGACCCGAGGCGGCAGGAGTGGCGGGGGCAAGTCCGTGGAAACCTTGCAAGACCTATGACAATGCCTTCGAGGCATGTAATGCATTGACTACCCCAGGGGGGATTTTTTATGTGTCTTTGCATAGCAAATATAGCAATCAAAGGAACAGGTCCAGGTGTCGGAGAAACAAAACCGAACACTAACATAGGTTGAAATGCGCTCAAACGGCTGCCCGTGCAGTTGTCCGCATCCCAAACTCCCATAGGGAGAACGCCAGACATGTAAGCCCGTTTGTGGTCCCCTGCATGACATTTAGGCTCGAAGCTAGACGTACACTTTCGGGCCATGACCTGATGACATGATAACAGACTTTATGTCGGTGACTGGCTCACAATGGAGCAATGAAAAGTCAATGGTCTCGCACTTGATCCTAACCACGCTGGCGGGAGAAGAAACCCAGCTTACAGTCGAGTTGCAGGAATATGACCGCTTCTACGAATTTGAAAATGCGGTCTTGGAGCAACTCCCCAATATTGGAGAGAGCAGTACCTTTGGCTGTGAGCTGGACTTTGTCTGTCGTGACACTCATGAAAAACTAGTGGACCCAATGTGGAACACCTTGCGAACAACAATTGTTTTACTGTCATCTCGTGCCCATGTTTTGAGGAGGCCGAACATAAGGGACAAATGAAAGGTGATGCAAAAGCCATTCGAGTCCCGTATTGCACTACAGACAAAATTCTGCCACAAGCTTTTTCTTGCATCACGGAGGTTCGGCATGCGCAGGTTGACACAGGCTTTCGCATCATAGGAAAGGCTGCGTGGCGTAACTGCCAGCGCCTCCAAATTGTGCATCTTGCCAGCACAGTAATCTGCCTGCAAACTCGAATCTTCCTGCTCTTTGCACGACGGCACTCGCTCCAGGCTGCAAGCAGTTTGGAGTCTTTTTTCCACGAGTGCGGACGCCGTGTGGGCGGAGTGCCCAGGTCATCATTGAAGGGAAGGAAACACTGCACTATGAGGGAAAAAAGAACACAAGCGACCCAAAACAGCAAGAAACCACCAACCCAAAACAAAAAACCACCAACCAAAAAGCCAACACGGCCAGAGGCCGATTCGCTCTCATTTAAAGTGTTTCCTCTGTACGAGGGTGAGACAAGTGAAAAAGACAAAACCTGACTGTGAACTAACTATGGGCCTGAATTCACAACGAAAGTCAGACGGCATGGTCAGCGCAGAGCGGAGTGCAGCGGAGCCCATCAAAGAGGCCTTGCCCCACCCACCAAACTGTGACCAAGAGGGCCACTGCTTTTTTTTCCACGAGTACGGACGCCGTGTGGGCATGGTGCCCAGGTCATCGTTGAAGGAAGGGAAATACAGTCAGATGGTGGAGAAAAGGACAAAGAAAACCCAACAACAAAACAACCGCCAACCACGGGCCGAGTCTCCACCATCCTGTAGTCTTTCCTCTGTGCTGAGGTGAAACAAGTGAAACGAAAACTACTGACTCTCGATGGGCCTGAATTCTCGAACGAAGAGCATGGCAGCGCGGGTTTGTGCTCTGGCAAAGTTTCCAGAAAGTCTTCAAATGGACTTCACATCTCAATACCGGTGACCAGCGGCCACTGCACGGTGTGGCAAAAACATGGTCTCGATGCAGGTCCCGAGCGTTTGATTTGTTCCAACGCCGGTTGTATCCATGTCAAAATGGATCAGGGGTTGCTATGCATCATGCCGTGGAAAAAACCATTCTTGTAGCACAACCCATTCAACTGGTTGCACTTACAAGTACAGAGGCATAGTAGTTGGTGGTATTCAGACAGTGGCGGCCATAGCAAACGACGAAAACCTGCAGGTAAGGGTGCGAAAGGCACATCCCCCCCGAAGGGAGGTCAGCTCGGCACCCTTCGGCACACAGTGGTGCCAAAGCGGGGTGACTCCTGACTTCGTGAAATGCTGCGTCATTGCAAAATTTGTTCTGTTGCGTGCAAGGCCCGTGTGAAACAGGTGAGACGTTGAAACTATCCTAGCATGGTGTCTGTACCTCTTTGTACAAAATAGGAAATGTCGGACATCAATAGAGGGAACTAAGGTTCCCTCTGGGCATCCTCCATTGCCACTCTCTACCACCGCCTGTTGAGAACGAGGAGCTAAGGCTCTCATTTCTATTGGCTCACTGTATTGCAAATGGCGAAGAGAGATTGGCAACCCTACTTAGTGTTTGCACATTTCACTTGCCGTAGCTTGCTGGCGGTGTGCTTTTCCACCATTCCTGCTGCGAAAGCATTGCTTGTCTTTGAGGCAGGGTCTGGAAAGTCTTCTCTCCATCGATCACTGGCATCGGCCGCCAACTCTCGGTGCTGCTTGGACTAGACGAGTTACCCACCTTTGTCAAGGACATATGTCCTTCGCCATGTGTTGCTTTTTCTTTGTTCACACAATGCTCGAAGATGCGTACTGCCTGCAACAGCGCATAGCGCCATGTAAAGCAGGAGTGGAAACCTCCTGTGGTGAGGTACGCTTAAGAAAGGCTTCTTTTGCCGTGATCCTCAGTTTGGGACAGGTCAACAGCTTGAGCTGTTGACAGCTCGCACAGGCGGTGGAACCTATCCTGGTGAAGTCTGTCGGCAAGGCAAGTGCGATAATACCCGCCTCCAGAATGCTGCAGTTCGGAGAGTCTCGGTTTGGCTGCGCTGCATCCTGCTCTGGCCGAGCCGACCGCTAGGGCAGACACTATTCGGGCGCTTTAGTGCAAAATGCTTGCAACCGAAGCTGGCTCTACTCATGGTATTTGGCCTGCTGTGGCTTCTGGCCTGCTCTGGACTCGAGCTAAGGCGCGCGCCCAGACTCTTGATGAGTGACAGTGAGACCGCGATAGCTGTGGTCAGAGAGGCTTGTCTTCATCCACGACTAGGGGACAAATGGCGAAAGCATTTTCTTCAACATAGACTCTTCGCCATTTGCGCCTTCCTGGCATCTTGGCGAGCCTCTTAAAAGCAGTGCAATCCAAGAAAGCCCTACTGCCAATGTATCTTAGTGAGGGCGGAATTGCAAGCTCAACAAGGGCTGCACAGTTCATAAAGGCTTTCACTCGGATTGTATGGAGAGTAGGCGGAAGGAGAACTTCTCTGAGGCTGGTGCAGTGCACAAATGTGAATTCCGGAATTTCTTCCACTTTGGTGTTGCAAAGGTCTACACTCTTAAGCAGTCGGCAACTGTCACACGCATGCGCTCCAATAGCTGTAAAATGCTTCGTGAGAGCGAGTGCGGTGATTCCCGTAGAGCTAAGACAGCCCGGTGCCAGCTCACTGGTCCTAGCTTGCAGTGTTGACCCTCGGGGGGATGGAAGCTCACTCAAGGTAAACTCAGCAAGGTTAA